AGTTTTAGTTCCTCTTAAACTACCGAAAGCATCAGGCCTAAACCAACAGTTGTATAATTTTAATAATATGGCATATTTTTTACAAATTAACTACATATTATTGTAGAGTAATACTTATATTAATTTGTTTGGCACTTTTGAACATTGTACACAACCACGAAACTTAAAAACTGTACTCACTAGTTCACTACTGTGATGTTGGTTTTAGGCAAAGATGTATCAAAGTAATGGAAATATTATCTTACTATAGATAAGTTATTACACCCATATAACTTAGTAAAAAAGTTGCGAAGAGGTTTTCTTTTTAATACATTGTATACAGGTGTGATCATATTTTAGGTTAAATAATCAATTTAAAAAAATAAGATCAACGACTTCGATGTTCCTAAATTATGATGAATTTGTTCCTCATTCTTTAATTTGCCACACTTAAGGGAGGTAATTTTTACTTCATTGAAATTAAAAAAGAGACGAGAAGTATACCCTCCTCAAAAAAAAAAAATTTTCAAATTAGTTCATAAATGACGGTGCTTTTAAAGTAACAAACATAAGAATATCCGTGTGGTGACTGATTCAATATGGAGTGTTATAACCTCCTCTATTTATGTACTAGGTGTCGTCAGAGCCGACTAAGGTCGCAAACTATGCAGACAACAGCACCGCAAAAAGAAAGAAAACTTGACACAAACCCACCCAGCCACTGGCGTGGTATAGTAGGCCAAAACCTCCTTTGTAAAGAGAAACCTATGTCCAGTAGTGGTCTATTAAAGGCTGTTGTTGTGATGATGATGATGATTAAACATCAAACAGTACTATTAAATCGACTTTCACCCTCCCCCAAAACCAAGGGGGGTGGGACGTATACCATAAAGATATACGTTTCTGTAATACGACCACACCTTTTTGCAACTAATAGTAATAAAATTTATTTTGGCCTTGTGAATAAGTCCACTGAATGGTGTATTACTACACAACGCAGGTTTTTAAACATGATTAGTGATATGTAGGCATACAAACACTATACCACGTTTAGTTATTACACAATATGCTATAAGCATTTCTCGTACTGAACCCTTACTTGAAGTGTTGTTTTAGTTATATCTGTAAAAAAAGAATTTTGAAAATCGGTCCACAATTGACGGAGAAATCGCATAACAAACATACATAAAAAAAATAAAAAAAATACAGACGAATTGAGAACCTCCTCTTTTGTGTTTTAGAAGTCGGTTAATAAACCCTTAATTAAATACAAATTATTTCTTACATATTTGTACTATACAATGTTTTTTGAGAAATAAAAATGAGGACAAAGGGTAAATTTAAAATATTGCTCAGTCATCTATTTATTTTTAACATTACGCCAAGGGCCTTAGGAGCGGAGCAGTGGCAATCACGTCGTATCACTCACGTTCACATTAGCAAATAAAACAACACTTACAAGATAAGGGACTATTATTTATGAAAAACAAGAGATCTTAAAATACTTGTCTTTATGTTTGAGCATCTTTAAACTATACAATATAATCTAAAATATTAAAATTAAAAAGAAATATTCAAATGTATTGCAATTCCAATCCATACAAATAAAATTATAATTAAATATAATCCAAACAAATTAATATTAAATCAATGTCAGTCAGCTTCAAGCTAAGGTTTATATTAAGTTATTTGTTAAGCCTCTACAACAAGTCGTCATTTAGATTGTTTCTCTCTTTATATTTACATAATTTGAAAATAATAAGATATAATAAAAATTTCCAACTTAAGCCTCCAGTGATTGGACACACCAGGCTTACTTAGCCGCAGTGTGTACTGCACTGCAGCTCAGTAAGTCAACAAAGTAAGTAACTGCAAAATGTAACGACAACGAATAAACTCAGTATTATTGAGAAGCAAATCCCCTATTCATCCCATGAGTGTAGTAAGAGCCCGACTAAGGGAGCAAACTACGCAGGACAACAGCACTGCAAAGAGAAGGAACACTTGACACAAACCCTATACTAACCCGTCTGTCCAGCGTGGTATAGTAGGCTAAAACCAGGCCTATGTCCAGCAGTGGATTATTAAAGGCTGTTGATGATGATGATGATGAAATTACAGTTACATGCTGTTGTAGCGAAGTATAACTTGTTGTGGCTTATCATTATTAAACTTTATTACTTAAACTTTATTAACTAGTATCAAAAATTGATATTAATGTAATTGCACAGTTAGTTTCACCATGATGGAAGTAATATTAAATGTCGGAGCAAATTTATTTCTTATAATCAATGTCCACCTTTACTTGAAGATGACAAACAAGTCTTACAGCTATTATGATGTTTATCGGTGGTTGCTAAAATTCCTCAAAACGCTTTATGAAATAACAGTTGATTAACAAAATAAATAGGGGCCCGACCAAAAACATACATGTTTAAAACTAACCTGTAATCAGATCTATAAAGTAAAGGGTGTTATGGAGTCAGAAAATATTCAGTTAACTACACTACATTAGCCAATAAAAGAAAAAAATACGACCAGTATCTCGCAAACTGGGACTACTGCGATAATTGGGACTTAAACAGCTAAATAACATATAGTTAAGGGTCCATTCACAGTATTTTTCTAGTCGGGCTAAGCTAAATACATTACTGTTAGTAAAACACATTAGGAATAACTTTGGCAAGCATATAAACTACATATAAGTGACATTTGTACTTATCCTGCCACATTAGTCATGGATATTGTGGAAGATAGCAGACAATCCTGAATGTTTGTAATTTACAGTTAGATATATTTGTTACAAGTAGATAATTGTGTTTAATTATTGCAATGGTAGTACAAAATATAAAAAGGATTTAAGACGATCTAGCTAAATAAAGACAATAGGCTTGAGTCCACTAATGACAAATTGCTTGGTTTATAATTTCAAATTGTAAATGAAGATACATAGATAGGAAAAACCAGTCTATTTCTCGTAAAAGTTAAAGCTTATTTATATTTTTATTAAATAAATTCACGCATTAAGTCACGTGACAGCGAACATAAATCAAAAAGTGTTACGTCACGTCAAGCAAAACATCATTGTTGTTGTTGACACTGGATACAGATGTTAAACAGTTTTGTTTCGCAGACTGTGACGTCATTTAAGACGCCATGACACTATTTTTCAAGGGAAATTTAAATTGTTTTTTTTAATACAAAACACGTAATTTAAATATAGCTTTTTCTTTAAAATATAGGTTTTTTTGGGATAAAAGTATATACTTAATCAAGTTTTCAAATTGAGTCAACTAGCCTATTGTCTAGTATGAACTAGATTCTGTTTTAGTTTCAGTTATGTGAGATTTTTTTATATGCATTAGTGACTACCCTATCAATTGGTCAAAACTTTTTCATTACCCAAAATAACATCCAAGTTTTGAACAACACAACACATTTAATATTTGTTGTAGGAAGTTAATCAAAATTAATATATTGCTTGCAATTGTCAGGTCGGTTAAAAAGTATGAGCTTTTCCATGTCTTAATGAATAAGGTCAAATCACTACTTGCTTATATTCTCTTTAGTCACATCATTACCTACAACAGCTGATAATACTTATATGCAGCTTGGTCCTTTATCCTAAAGGGACTTTCTGTAATACAAATAAAATGCGGTCGCGAAGCAAGAAGAATTTCGTACAATGACCTTTGTGTCTAATATATACCTGTGACCTGTGTTGCACAATATATAAAATATACAGAATATGCGTAATTTAAATTATATTAATGTATTAGGTAATTAATATTATATTAAGTTACGAATATACTATACTCAGGTATACACAAAGTCAACGCTCTGACGCCACATAATACAGTACGGTTCTTAACTATGATACTAATTATAATTATTTTTTAGTAAAATTAAAATGTAAAAATTATTTATGAAATATAATAAAATTTAATATTTTAGCTACTTCAAAATATTAATTATATAAATGTAAAAATGGAGAGACGTATTTATTTCAATATTAAAAGCAATAGTACGGCCAACTAAATATCTTATGCACACAAGCAGAGCTTATTCTAACAATCAAAAAGTTTATAATCTGTCCACACATGGTCATTGCATGGGTCCGAACGTGACGGCAATAGATTTATGCGCGAGGGACAGAGACGATATTCTATCTGGTCCGCGACCGCACTGTAGTAATCAAATGCTTTAGTTATCCTCTTGAGTCTATACGTACTTACAATATATACACTGTTTCCCAGTTGTATATGCAGTTATTTTTTAATGTTAAACAGAAATATGTTCCTCTAGTCCTTATGGACTATTTGTCTATTTTAAACTATTGATTTAAATGCATTTTTTTTAATCCAAAATAATCATTATCTGTTGAAAAAATTAGTAAGATTAAAAATATAAAATTGTTTATTCATCTCAAATGTATGTAGATTTGTATTACGTATAATGTACATAATACTAAGTTGTATAATTATTCACTAATTCGAACACATTTTTATGGGGTAAAACTCCCATAGTGTCAGTAATTTTAATTTAGTAAAAAATACTAATAATTATCTTCGAGTAGATTTTCAAAGTCATTAAAATAGAAATAAGATCGCGAATGTCAATCGTAGTTTTAATATTGCATCGTTATGTGTGTGTATATTCGAAAGGTTTAGGTACATTTATAAATAAACATAAACAAAAGAATATGAGGTCTATTAATCAAACAACAATTTAAAATCGCTTAAATGTTATTAGTTAACTTTGAATATTGTACTGTTAGAGAAGTAAATTTTAAGTATTTAAAATTTAATTATATAAAAAATATTTAGAACCAATATAGTCAAACCTAAACGAGGTCGATTTCTATTTGTTTATATTTAGTTAGGTACTTAAACCTTTCGAGTACAATTTTAAAGCAATGACAAATTCGACGTTCCAGGTCTATAGTGTATGGTTTCAAGTAAATGGCGTACACAATAATGTACCTGATGAACGGTCAAGAAGTGGTTGTAGAGCTTGTGGAGCTACTCGAGGTCGTCGGCACGAGACGGACGCGGCGCGACGGACGCGCGGCGGTACAGCAGCACGTTCTCGCCCACCTCGCCCTCGGGGAACTGGACAAAATGTTTGGGTGAGCATTTTTTTCTTAGACTTGTTAAGTCCAAAAAAAAAATCTCAAGTTGTTGGCACCGAATATTCTAATTTTTTTTATTGAAAATATAAATAAAAAGATTTTAAACAGAAGAATTGATCATCTACACCTTTTTTGTACGCACGTGATATGCGTAATGTCGGTGCCATTTGAGAAATAATTTTTAAGTTTAAGTAAGTGGGGGGGTGTTTCGTAAAAAGGAACTGAAACGTGTAACAGGAAGTGCTTTGCCCGTGTTCGTTGAATTCAATGAACTGGGGATGCACGCTATATTTCAATTGAACGATGAACGCGCGGTTATTTAGTTATTCGTCAGCTAACAAAATATTCTACCGCTAAGGCTGAAAAATTGAGGAATGAAGAACACAAATTCATTTAGTTGCATTGATTCTTTTTATTTATAATGTGACAACCTCGGGGCAAACTGTCTAATAGTGGAAAAGAAGTCCCGGGAACTTCGACCGCCTTTTAAATAGTACGCAACCACACGATTCCGGAAGGCATTGCCTTGATCACATCTGCATTTAATTTCTATCAATTAATTGACATGCGTTTATTATTTGTTTAAACTTAACTACTGCTTTCTAAAACAAAAATATTGACTGCACTGATAGTAAGTCAGTACAAGTACAGATGGCGTAGTGTTTTAAGCGATGACCTAGCTGCTTCCTACTGCGCTGAGTGTTGAGAGTTAGATCCCCACATGGGACAACACTTTGTGTGATCTACAAATTGTTGTTCTGAGTCTGGGTGTTCTTTTAGTCCGTTTCATGTATGTGTAAGTCTCCCGCGACACAGGATACTTTCCTAGTGCGAGAGTTGTCTTTTTCAGAAAAAGAAATAGTGACCTGCGTGTGAGGGATCTGAAGCAGCAGCTGGTAGTCGTTGAGAACATTCTCGATCCTCCCCTTGAGCTTGTCGAAGAGCACGAGCAGGGTGGGGGTCTGTCGCGCGGAGTACTCGGCGCGCCACCAGCGCAGCGGGTTGTTGAAGAAGGCGGCCGCCTCGTACGTGTCGCCCGACTGCGACAGCGGCGGATCGCAGCTCAGGTACCGCGTCGTGATGTTCATGTGCAGGTGGCTGCAGGATACATTTCTTTTTATAATTTTGTTTTGCACACTACGGACTTTTAACTACTCATCCCTCATCATAAAATTTTACATACTAGTCGTTCGAGGGATAAAAACATTACTTTTACGAGAGCAGGACCACAGCTCTGTGTGTCTCAAATTTTGTGTGGCATACTCTCATTAGACATAACGATAGACCATTATATTGCAAAGTAGGGGTATGATCAATATTTAATGCTAATATGACAAAAGAATGTTGAAATGTGCTAAATCTAAAGTAAAAATCAAAAAAAGTGAGATACCTGTCGCCAATTGTTCAAATTTTAATACTTTACTCTGCATGTTACATTAATTTAACTTTAGATATAAGACACACCAATGTATACAAACTGATTTCTTCTTTTTTATTATGTTTTTTTGTACAATAAAGAGTTATCTATATATCTATCTACCTGTATAACGGTGTAGAGTGGCACGGCATGAGGAAGGCCACGGAGCTCCTGTTGTTAGGGATGGCGTCCCGCAGCTCCGCCATGACCTTGAGCGTGCCGGCCTGGTGCACCGAGCCGAAGTAGACGGCGGGGGCCGCGTTGCCGAGCAGGAGGGCGCCCGCCACCAGGTACAGTTGCCACCTACCATACGTAATAAAGTATTAGTAAACGAACTATACATATTGAATACATGCATCGGATTGCAATATCCTAGTTCTACGATACGATGAATAAATAAGTGAACAGAATAGCGTACGGCTCGTGTGAGATTATTTCAGATCAAAGCGAAGGTAAAGGTGGCCGCGTTTGGTGTGCGATTCGCCCGCACGGAATTCTTCGCCAATCGCAACGTCGAACGACGTCCAGTGCTAGTTGATATGAAATAAACTCACCCTAAGCCCCTTAGTACAAGCGAATCAGTCAAAATGATTAACAATTGCTGATCATTACATTTGTTGCAATGAAAAGTACAATTTGAAATAATTTTCTTATATAAGATGGTGTAATCACGAACTTTAGCTTGTACCAATAATAAATAAAAAACTCACTTCTGAGCTTTCCTGCTCCAAGGTACGATAACATCCTGCGCGAGGTACAGCAGAACCGGCAGCAAAGGTAAAATGAATCTAAACTCTTTGTGTGGTATAAAACTGTAACAAATATACTCGTATTTCAATTTTTTGTTTTATTTAGAGGTTAAAATGTAAAATGCAATTACAAAATCCTAAAACTTACCCGTTAATACTATTCTACCACATTCACACAACGCCATCTAGTCCCATAATAAGCAGAGCTTGTACTATGGCTACTAGACAATTGATATAAATACATATATACTTTTTTTTTGTAAATACATACTTATTATATATAGAAACACCCAGACCAAACCAAACATTAAATGTTCATGCACACAAATGTTTGACTTGAGCGGGAATCGAACCCGCGACCTTTGGAATATCAGTCCGTTACACAAACCACTACGCCATCGGTCGTCAAATGTCAATAAAATACTTATAACAACTAAATAATGTAAGTAGTACTAGACGCAGTACATTTTTGTATGAAATACTATTTCGTGACGTCATAACTTGCTATTGTCAAATCGTTTATATTTTATGTTGATATCAAATAAAAAAAGATTAAATTAATAATTTAGGACAATTCAGGTTCTACTTTAAGATGTTACATTAAACGATGCAGGCGAAATAATTTAACTACGCAGGACAACAGCACTGCAAAGAGAAGTAAAACTTGAAACAAACCCTATATCAACCTGTCTGGCCAGCGTGGTATAGTAGGCCAAAACCTCCTTTCTAAGGAGAGACCTATGTCCAGCAGTGGACTATTATACACTGTTGATTATGATTGATGATTACAAGTGATAGCACAACCCATAGAAACGTAAAAAACGGTACGGTGTTTGTGGTCACACTCCTCTGAAAGGGCTTGACCGATTTTAATGATTTTTTGGCAGGTATGAGAATAGGTAGTAAAGTATTTTTTAACATCCGAACCCCATTCCCATTTTTCCCATTTTTTAAATATGGCAGAACGTTTGACGGGTCAGCTAGTATAATATCAATTGTTTGACGAACCTGAACACCGCTAGGTATGCTGCAACAATAGTTAACAGCAATAATCCGACTCTGTTCTCCTGAGGACGCCGCAGGATGTTGATTGTGGCCCACAGCACAGGCACCAGGTGGACGCCTAACACTGCCGGCAGGCCTTGGGTTATGTACCAATACCTGAAAATGTAAATTATTTTTAAAATACGACAAAAATTTACATTCTATAAGTTGGAGACGGTTATATAAAATGGCTAACCATGGATGTTGCCCATAGAATGAGGCAATGTCATGGAGCACGTTGAATCTGAAGAACTCCCACGGTGTAACGATCAGTCTACCATAGTAATAGGAGTCCAGACCAACAAGAGCGCTACCAACGATGATGCTGTAAAAAAGGAATAGGGTATTTAGTAATAACTTTGTCTAGTTTAAATTTTCCAATAGGATTAAATGATTATGGTATTGAGTCGTTGGTTCGTGAACAACCGAGAGCAGTATGGAATCTTGAGGACAGCGCCATCTGGTATCAAGTAACGCATAACGAACACGCAATTACGCGCTGAAATGATGGTTCATAATTCCGATACATGCTGCGCCATCTAGTATCGAGTAACGGAAATGGAATTAGGAATTCCTTATTTTCTTTGACGCTTTATCGAATCCCCCACGATTATTCTAGTCTATAATCCCTAGATTAATCTAGTTATTTCTATAGCTCTATACAAGCAGAGCTTGTTGGCGGTGTGAGGAGAAGCCTATGTAAAGCAGTTGACTGTTAGGTGCTGTTGATGATGATGATACCCATACTATATTGTTTACCCCACCTTCCCCTTCGGTGACTACTTATAATATTAGGTCTTTACCTATGAAATTGCCGTTTTGTATGCAATAAGTGAAAGTACTAATTTTTTTAAACTTTTTTATTTCTGTTATTCGAAGTAATCACCCATGCAATCGACGCATCTTTGCCAACGCGCATTGGCAGTTTATTGATGCCCTTCTTGTAAAAATCAGCTGGACGGGAGGCAACAAACTCTTCAAAGGCATTTTGTACTGCCTCTCGGGAATTGAATTTTTTACCCACTAAAAAGTTGTCTAAATTTTGGAAAAGTAATAGTCGGTAGGTGCAAGGTCTGGTGAACGTATGGCGGATGAGGGAGAGCTTCCAACCCCAGCAGCAAAGATGCGTCGATTGCATGGGTGATTACTTCGAATTACAGAAATAAAAAAGTTTGAAAAAATAAGTACTTTCACTTATTGCATACAAAACGGCAATTTCATAGGTAAAGACCTATTATATGCCAAGATCCATCTATATTAGTATTGCAGGAAATAATATTCTGCTAAAAGACTGAACAAACAAACTACCTGATTGGTACATAAATCCTCATGATCAGTCTCAGCCGTCCTTGGTTGGTAGTGAGCAGATTGTATGCGCCAAGCACGACCCATATAGGAGCTGATGTGGGACGTATGAACACGCACAATACCGCCAACCATATCCATAATGGACTTTCTGAAATAGGGCAGAGTCCTCAGTTTAAAATTAATTCAATCAGGGAATCAAACCCTGAGTAACGTGTGTGAGTTTTGTGAGTGAGTGTTTGTGAGTAAGAGTTACGAGCCCTGATGCAAAATAGTTCGTCTAGTGTGAAATTTTCTCTGTGAGATTTTTTTTAACTTCATTATTTTTGTATATCTACATAAAATATTAAGCTGTTCTACTATCATATGTCGCGTTACTTATGCCATTTTTAAATTATGAACCAATAAACTATTTTAGCTTTTTAAATTTATACATATCCTGTTTTAAATTCGAAGAAGTTATAAGCAAAATAGTTCGTCTAATTGTTAATTGATGCAAAAGAGTTCGTCTATCGGTGAGTTCAATAAGATTATTCCTTCTTTGTACAATTATGTTGCATAATTTGAAATTGTAAAAGTAATTCTGTGTCATTTGTCAAGTGAGACAGTATAAATTCTGAAAATTTCAGTCTTTTTCATTAGCTTTCAAATAACAATGGGTCGTGGCAAACCCGTGTGTGAAGAGCTTCGAATGCGAATAGTTTGTGGGGTCGATGCTGGCAAATCAAGTTACAAAAAATCTAAAGACTTGATACTTCCCAGGTCTACAGTCCAATCTATCATTCAGCACTATAAAAAGAATAGAATGACGTCTTGTTTGAAGAAAACTGGTCGACCACGCATCACAAGTGCAGTAAAGACAGACTCCTAAAGAAAATTTTCAAAAATAATCGACGTGCTCGAGCTGGAGAACTCACGGTGCAATGGAAGGGCATGATTCACAAAGACGTCTCAGTTGATATTTGCAAGAGTCCTTAAAAGAATGGGTTACGGATTTTACACCGCTAAGGAGAAACCACTGTTGACTGCTGTACAAAAGAAAAAGAGGTTGAAGTTTGCTCGTGATCATTTAAATTGGACTTCCGATCAGTGGCGTAGTATCATTTGGAGTGACGAGTCCAAATTTGAAATGACAGTCGGCGATGAAAGGAAAAAAGTGATTCGGAACAAAAATGAGGCATTTCATACTGATTATCTCAAACGCAAAGTGAAGTTTCCGGCGTCTCTTATTATATGGGGCTGCTTGTCTGCACAAGGTGTTGGTGGTAAGCAGTTTGTGGATGGTTCTATCCATGCTGCAAGGTATCAAAACCTTTTGGAAGAGAATTTACTGCCCCCTATTCCATCACTTAAGCATCAAGATTCCTTCATTTTTCAACAGGATGGTGCTTCCTGCCATACTGCAAGGACAACGAAGACGTGGCTACTTGCGAAAAGCATCCCTACAATCGAATGGGCATCTAACAGCCCGGACTTGTCGCCGATCGAAACCCAATGGTGGAAAATGAAAAAAGTTCTCCGTAAAAATACATCAAGAAAGAAGAGTGACTTAAAGGCTAAACTCTTGGCTGTCTGGGAGTCAATTACGCCTGAGGAGTGTGCAGCGTTGGTTGCAACCATGCCTCTTCGCATTAAAGCTGTCATTGAGAGCAAAGGCGACACAACTAAGTGGTAGACGAATACTTTTGCGTTATGTTTTTTAGAAATTTTTTATGTTATGTAAAGTCATGAAAGAATTTCAGTTATGTTAAAATAAAGTTTAAAATGTTCCTCAAATTGTGGTTTACTTTTTATTAAACCTTCTTAATTATTTTACCAATATTTACTTTCTATATTTTACGCTTTGCACTACTTTCCATACTAGACGAACTATTTTGCATTGGGGCTCGTATATAATTTTCACATTTGATAAAGAGATACTGATTTGATTTGGCTACCTAACAATTTAAACCTACATCTATAAACTTTTAAAATAAAAAGCTTAATCCATTGTCTATGCTACCCTTATACTTACCACGATCATAATACCCAAGTTTTCCACTCTTGAATGGGAACAACGATAGAGCAATGCCAACAATTGCTGTCTCTAAGGTCTGCAGCAATGTTCTACCGGAGGTGTAGAACCAAAACCAGGAGGTAAGTACCAAGAATAATGCCCATTTACGGCCACCTGTCCATTTGTAAAAGCTATAATCTGCAGCAGTGCTGATGGCTGCTTGTAGAATGCGAGGCAGGAGAATCTGTAAAAATAATATGCTTTTAACTTGAAAGGAGAAAAAAAATGAGCGTGTTTGACTTCCCTAGTGGATACTGGATTAGATAAATTTAACATGGACTGTTTCCCACAAGTACCTACCTACATGCACATTTTGCTTTCGTGGGAGCAAAATTAATGAAGAACCCCTCAATCCCCAAAGAATCCTAATACCCTCTTTAAATTACCAATAATGTAGGAGACTGCTCCTTACAAGCTAACACAATCATGAATATAATGATGTGTTTAATTTAATAAAAAAAAAACTTATCTCTATTATATTTATTATGCTCTACATATTCTAAAGTTATAAAACAAGTTTTGTAAAGATACCTATATCATCAAAAACAATAATATTTACAAAATTTTCCTTAATGATCTAGATTCAACGCACTTGTGACTTTTGAGTTGCAGGTCCTTGAGTTGCCCCCTTATGCCATAAGAAAAGACTAAAAATAATAATTCTTAGGAAGTTTGAGTAAATTATTTTTATTATAGCTTAGAGTTATTATGATTTCAAAACAGCTTTTTTAAAGATAATTAAAATATAGCAGTTTGCTAAGAGGATAACTATTAAAGTACACTTACCAAGGCCTCAGGATGGTCAAGTCCAGTATATTTCAAAATCGTATACAGTGCAGCTATCACACTTGGGTACAGATAACTCCTAATACCTTTCTGCCACTCCCAAGTCTCTGTCCCATACCCAAACACTTGCTTGTGGGCAATTTCTAAAGTCTGCCAATACTCGTCAGGAACATACCAAGTCTGCACGAGGAATACTGATAAAATTCGGACGAAGAATATGAGACAGACCACCTGTAGCGGCCTCAGGCCCTTTGCCAACACCATTCTCCCGCCTAAACCGAAAGAGGTTACATATGAATCGTCTATAAATAGAAAGATTATGTGGGCTCAATATAAAATCGCACAAAGTATGACTACAAAACATACTAAGCACTGCATTTAATGTAAAACAGTTCCAATAGGAAAACTCGAAGTTGAACACTAAACCAAACGAAACAAACTTTACTTACAAAAATGTCAACTAAAGCGTCTCTGTAATTAACGTCAAATATGACTGAACAATGGTATTTCAATGCAAGGCAATTAAGCAACACTATTCCATAATTATATTTGAATCAGTAACAGCGTTTGTCTTCGCTAAAAATAAACACAAAATCATTTTTTTCATAATTATTTCACTAACCTCAACAAAATCCGCCGCCACCGCTTAGTAGAGCAGCGCAAATCTTTTTTATATGGTAAGTAAGGTATAGTAAGAAATATTATGTTTTGAATTTATTATAATTAAAATATATGTATCATATTTTGAAGAACTAAATATTACTTTTTACATAGTTATTATGTATTTCATAATTTATGTGTGTGATTTTGTAGTTGATTAAACAATCGACTACAAAATCATTAAATCAACTAATTTTGAAGAAAGAAAAATGTGCACCTCTAGCTAAATATGTCAGTTCAGTTGTGTTCAAAAACTGTATATTTTCACACTAAAATCTTGTTAACAATTTGTTATAATTGTGTGGTGTCTGCCGAAGTCGGTAGTTGAGCTAAAGTTTAGCAAAGTCTTAATTTACAATCATCCAAAATAAATTTTAATATCTAATATTCTGTATAAAAATAATAATTGAACACTGGAACACATATCGATACAGATTAAACCAATGGTTTTTTTTTATGTTTAGAACGTCAATTTACGAATGTTGATTTGTGTGAAGTATAAAATGCTAAATTACGTTTCAACAAATAAATAAATCATGTTGGAATAGTCCAAAAATGGGTACGTTTAGTAAATACATGAGAGAGCCTAATGTGAAATTTTTTGTTAACGTATTATTTGTTGACAGAAGAGACGAAAAAAGAAACTGTGGACCTTTCGAGGCGTGGGTTGAAGAAAATAGAGAAAGCGCCCGTAGAGGAATCTAAGACGATTATTAATTTGATCTTAGATCAAAATGAACTGCAGCGGTTGGACAATATTGACACCTACAGCCGTATTGAAAACGTAAGATTAAGCTAATTGTGTTAACATCGAGCGGTCTATAAATTTTCGGCTTTTCATTTATGACTTGCACAAGAAAAATACGCGACATACTTACATTATAAATATTAAACTTTTACTTAGTATTCAAAAGAAAATTCTAATAAGTTTGTGTGTTTACTGTGTAAAGATTATGTACATTCTTATGAGAAACATTTAAATTATACTTTTTTACATTTTACTCGGTCTCATTTATTTTAGCTATAAAAGGGAAAAAATTTTTTACTCCGCAGGGCTGGAGGGCCCCGGGCCTGACAAAATCCGCTACTTGCACTCAAACAAGGGCCCATTTTGCAAATAGAGGGACTAAAGGGAAATTTAATCAACCTAAAGTTTTGAAACGGGCTGGTAAAAAAATTTTAATTTACTTTTTTAAAAAAAAAAATTTTAAATTTTAAAAAAAAGATTTTTAAAATTAGATTGAAAATTTTTTAAAATTTTTTTGGTTTTTATAGAAAAATTTTTTTTTCTAAATTTTCTGGTTACTTTTCATTGTTTTTTTCCCTATGGCAGCTAAAGATTTTTAAATTCAAAAAAATTTTTTAAAACCTGGGGAAAAATTTTTATAAAAATGAATTTCAAATCAAATTTAATTTTGTGATAAAAAAAAAAAAAGAAAATTTAAAAGTTTAAAAAAAAAAAATGTTTTGCGGGCCCAAACAAATCAATCAATGAACATCTCAACCCCCAACATGCACCGGGAACAGTTAGATTATCAAACAACCAAATTTTTTTTATAGCTGACATATCTTATTTGAGAAATTTAAAGGTGAGCAGAATCTTCTAGCGTTTTAAGGATTCTTCTATTAGATCACTACAAAAAAAACAAAGGGAAGCTTTTTTAATCACTATTATTATTATCAAAAATTATTTAATCGTTTTAAAAGTGTTCTTATAAGAATTTTTGTATCTGTTTGAATTTGGAAAATTTCCAGCATTTGAATTTGGAAAGAAACCGAATAATTGTTTCTCGACAGTGTGACCGCCCCCTGCCTTGAATTTGGGCCCCCTTTAGGTTTGGGGCACAAAAAAATTTCCCAAGTTTTTAATGAAAAAAATCATTTAGTACATTTAAACAAATTGGAGAGTTTCAATACAAGGGGCCAAAACCCTTGGGGGCCAGGTGGTAAAGGGACAACTGGATTTTTTTTAACCCCTGAAAATAAAAATTTACGGGAAAAGATACTTAGATAAGAAAATATATCCTGTCAAAAGGCTTTAAAAAAAATTAAATTTAAAACACAAAAAAAACCAAAATTTTTTGTGTTTTCACAAAAAATTTGTTTTTCCCCATGGGGGGTTTAAAAAACCCAAAATATCAGTGCAGAAAGTGTGGGGTTAACCCATTTCTCCCAAACCCAATTTTCCCCATCAAATGTTTAAAAAACATTTTTTCCCAAAAACCATAATTAGAAATAAATTTTGGGATAAAATTTATTTTTTAAAAAAATGTTGATTTACCCAGGGTTTTTCATAGCAAGCCCAAATGGTTATTTAACTTCAGGGGCCCCGGGTTGCGTTTAAAAACTAGAAATGTTTTTTGGGGGTAAACTGCGAGATATTTCCCCACTGGGGTGCGGTAGCACAGTTGAATACAACCTATGTACTCTTTCTATGCATGTAAGCAGGGCTTTCCCCCCCCAGTAAGAAAAATAGGGTAAAACCAAATCATGTGCTAGAATACAACCCTACAAAAACAGGTGGCTTCCTGCCCCCTATCTTTTCCCCCCCTTTATTTTACAAACGTTTTAAAAAAATTTTGGATGAAACCCAAAATTTCCTTTCATATTTTAAAAAAAAAATTGGGTTCGGAAATTAAACCCTCCATTTTTTGTACTCAATTGGATATTTGGGGTTTAAAATTTCCCTCGAGGATTTGTTGTCGTGCAATAGAAGGTAAGTGTGATTTTTAAAAACTAAATATGTCTATTTCTATATGTTTTTTATAAAAAATGATAAGGGTTTTTTGGGATACTCAAAAAACTCAAAAAGTTTTTCACCCCTTTTAAAATAAAAATTTTTGGGACGACATAAAACCAGTTTTAAAATTGTTTTTAAACTATTTTTAAACCCCGGGTGCCAAGGGAAAAGGGTTTTGTTTTTTTTGCGGGGGGGGTGTTTTTAAAGTAAAGGTTAATTAATATTCCTTTTTTTACCTCAATATGTCCCAAAACCCCTGCACGGGTTTTTTAAATTTAAAATTTCGTTAGATTCCCTCCCGGTAACCCAAATGGGTTTGATAGGGACGGAAAAAAAAAAAACCCCTATAGTTTTTTAAAATTAAAAAAAAAACCCTTTTTTGGGGAATGCAAAATTGGTTTTCAAATTAAAGCGCTCCCCTCATGGGGGGTTTTTTTAAAATAGTGTTTCATGACCATATTTTAATTTTAAAAATATGTTATTGCACTGGGTTTTTATTTTTTTTTAACTTATACTTGTTCGCGTCGGGCTTGTTCATTATTTTTTTTTCAATGCCACCGCAAAAATTCTTTCACCCAAAAGGGGGGGGGCAGGGTACACTAGTTAAAAAATTTTAGTTTAATTTCCTATGGCACCTACCCATAGTTTTTTGAATTTTTTTGATTTTTTTTTAGTTTTTAGCTTGTCCATTTGGGACTGATTTAAAATACGGGGGTGTCCCCCCACCCCCAAATTTTTCCGTGGGGGTTTGTTAGAGGTGCCCAAGGAAAAAGCTAAAGGGGAAAAAGCACTGCAAAAAGAATGAATTTTTGAAACAAACTCTAAAAACCCAAACCGTCGGGGTAGGGGAGTATAGTAGGGCCCAAAACCCCCTTTTTTAAGGAGAGGCCCAGGGCCCCCAGGGGCTATTAAAGGGCCCGGTTTTATTTCCCTTTCTTAACTTTAAGCTATTACAGTTGATTGTTAAGGCAAAATTATTTTACCGGCATTTACATATTACCCGTACTAGTTTAAACTATGTTTACCTTTACTGTACTTAATGCAATCTTTTTTAAAAAGGAATATTCAAAACATTGAATACTACCCAAAGTGCATTATTTCGTCACCATATAAGATTAGAATGATATATTCTGACAACTTTAAGTGGGCGTGATGTAGTTAACGGGGATAAACCTTGATTGAACGCGGTGATATCATCATTGGCCTCACATCTGTTATACTCATACAAACTAAATTATTTCGTCCAGCTTCGAAAGATGAGTTGAGTGTAAAGTCCAAGTGTCTAAGGTCGGTGGTAGTCAATTTACCATTAGGTGACATTGGTTTCTATGTACGAGTATCTACTGCAGATCGTCTGGGGTCAAAATTCGACCAAAATGTCTTAAATTTAGTTTTTTGTTATCCTATTGACCTATTTGTTACACTAATCTAGCGATTCATAAACAGTATACGTTGATATGGCATCTTATAAACTATCCGTGCCATGACGTAAAAGAGCGTACTCCTTCCTAAAAGGCCGGCAACGCGTGTGTGACTCCTGAGTTGCAGACGTTTATGGGCGGCGATTGTCACTTTCCATCAGGTGACCCGTCTGCTCGTCTGCCCCCTCTAACATAAAAAAATGACATTTCAACATTTATGTACTAAACATAAACAAGTACAGCTGCCTCTAAGTGGAAGCGATCTATCGCTTGCCTGTAGGCAACGAGAGAGAGGGATGCTCGATTACTCCCTCTGTCCCTGTTTAGCTAAACTGCGATTGGCTACTTATTAATCCCTCGTATTCCCCAGCCAACCACAGAGCTCGATTAGAAAGAGATAGAGGGGACTATCTATTATCCATCTCTCTCGTTGCCTATATTCCAAGATTGGGACTCGTGTTCTTTGACACTGTCCATTTAAATTTAAGTTATTCATAATAATAATAAAAACAACAGCATAGAGTACCTGATGTTATATTTTCAGTTTAAAAGCTGAATGGCTGTACAGTCAAGGAAAAGGTCGTCACTTCCATTCTGGTCAGCATCAGGAACTGTGCGAGTACCTGGCGTCGACTTGCCCCCTGACTGCTGATGCGCTTGAAACTGAGGATCAAAGGAAATTGAGACTTATACTGAGCAAGGTGAGGACTACATTAGTAGCGTTGTAATGGAATATGAAAAAAAAACGAGCGAACTTTATACATACACAGATACATAAATAATAAAGACACCAGAATATAATTATACATGAATTACGTAGATATGTAACCACCAGCCTAAACAATCAAGTTAAGCAAATGTTCGATCTTCTAAACCTGAAGGTACAATTCTCGTAACAAAAATTCTTTCAGAATTCTGTTCCGATTTACTATCGATCTCACTAATGTCAGAAAAGGTATTCTCGTAGTAAAATAATACTAAGACTAGCAGAAGACGGATTGAACTTTCGATACCATTACGATATAATCACATTGTAGTCAACGTTAGATGTTTAATACATTACTAGTAGAATACCTTTTTATGGGATCAAGAGTAGATCCAAACTGATTTTTTAACATTTTAATTACTAAAATTGACCTTCCGTTGCATTGCTAATTTGCGGTGCTACTGTCGCTAACGCATGTCGAATGTTTTCAGGCGCAACATCATCAGCAACAGTTAAAGGATCAAAACCACAGTCCCCTCAAATCCAAGTTGCAGTCTCCTAGAATGCAATGTAAGTAGTATAGAGTTTTATTTAAATAACTAGCTGAGACCCGCGGTGTTACTCGCGTTTGTTGTAATAACCGCGGGAAACGCCGCGGGGCGAAGCTAGTCTAAAAAAAGTAGCCTAAGTTACTCTTTATGTCATCAGCTATCTGCCAGTGAAAGTCGAGTCGAAATCGGTCCAGCCGTTCCAGAGATTACCCGCAACAAACAGACAGACAGACAAAAATTGTAAAAAATGTTATTTTGGCATATGTACCGTGTAAACATACATATGCATTTAGTAAAAAGCGGTTTTTTTAATATTACAAACAGACACTCCAATTTTATTTATTTGTATAGATTAAAATTGTATTCAAGACTCAGTCTTAAAAGACGACAATATATTATTATTATTTTAAATTTCTAATTAAAATATAAACAAGTATTATGAAAAAGAGAAGTTTTGTTTGTTCGTAGGTAATAAATAATAATTATAAGTGCACACATCTCACACAGCTGTGTCTGATCCCAAGCTAGGCAGAGCTCATTGTTCGTTTTTGTAATCAACTGTATGTTTATATTAAAAGTGTACAATTGGAGAAAATTAAGGTGTGGTGCCAATCCTCGTTCTAACCAGTCAAGTCGGAGTAGGATTTGACATTGGCCGGACTTGCACATAACGGTTTGGCTTATCTACTATTATTATTTGTTATACGATACATGTGAAATAGTTAACTCCTAGATAAACAAACAGCAGAGGTCCAGTAATACGGTTTCATTTGCTAACTTTTTTTTACGATGTAGGAGTTAATATTAATAATCATCATCATCATCATCAACAGCCTATACTAGTCCACTGCTGGACATAGGCCTCTCCTTAGAAAGGAGGTTTTGGCCTACTATACCACGCTGGCCAGACGGGTTGGTATAGGCTTTGTTTCAAGTTTTCCTTCTCTTTGAAGTGCTGTTGTCCTGCTTAGTTTGCTCCCTTAGTCGGCTCTTACGACACCCACAGGATGAATTGGGGTGGTGACAATTTGTATTCTTAATCCGTCACCACACGGACTATCCGTCACCACACAGTGTTTTGGGTTCGATTTCCACATGGGACAACATGGGTGATGCTCAAATTGTTGCCCTGAGTGGGTGTTCTTTGTGTCCGTTTCATTAATGTATGTAAAGTCTCCCGTCACACAGGATATGTTTCTAGTACGGGAGTTGTGTTTTTGTAATGATAAAAAAGAAAAATACGTCCTCCTCGCCTCCCCTGAATCAGGGGAAAGGTGGGCTCTAGTTTCTACTCCGGTATCCTCACTTATTCAGTGAAAAGCAACGAAGCAATTGCCTAACACGGGTCTCCTGTCAGGTCGTGGTTGTCACTCCGTTGGAGCCCGCCCATTTGTGCGGAAGCATGACTTCTACAATAATTATGCTTTAGTATACCACCCTTGTGACCTTAGGACCACTTTGGATGAGAGTGGCGGCAGACAGAATACAATAGAGAGTTGCAAGAGGCCGTCGTAGTAAGGCAAACCGAACTAAGAGATATCTTGTAATATAAGTGTTGTTTTACTTTAAAAACTCTTTTTTTTAATATACCATTCTTCTAAAAATTTTACTAAGACACGAAATTATGAAATTATTTCGGAAAATGAAGGCTTTATTATTATACCATCAAGGATTTAAAATGAATATAAAAAATTATATGTATTTATTCCAGCTCGTATAACGCCACGACATATGGGCCGATCACCAGACCGCCTCACATCCAGTTACCACGCAGCGCTATCTAAGACCAGTTCACCATCACACCAGATGTCCTCGTCTCTGTGCGGAGACCTCCCCGGTATACATACGGCTATGAGTCAGAGCTTCGATTCCCCAGGCCTCTTGTATATGACAGAGAAACGGGATAAAGAGAGGGAGAAAATACCAGGTATATTATGACATAATACTTACAAGTACATAATATGATTATCCGTGTGGTAACGGATTAAGAATACAGAGTGTTACCACCCCTATTCATTCCGTGGGTGTCGTAAGAGCTAACTAAGGGAGCAAACTACGCAGGACAACAGCACTGCAATGAGAAGGAAAACTTGAAACAAACCCTTTACCAATTCGTCTGTAAGCCAAAACCTCCTTTCTAAGGAGAGGCCTATATCCAACAGTGGGCTATTAAAGGCTGTTGTTGTGACATAATACGTTGAATGAATAGAAATAATAACAGAGGGCCTAGTGCAAGTTTATTGCACATCAAATCGCTCTCGACAGCGAGTGTCTTCGGCGCTGTGATTGGTGCAGAGTTCAGCACGGGCCAGTCGCAAAGCTGTACGCTCTCACCGTGACTTCGAATTGATGTAAAATAAACTCGCATTTTGGCCTCTGGTGTACGAATGATGGATCGACACAAGCCGCGCTATATCTTGCTCGCGGTCAGCGATTTACGTCGATTAACGCTATTTCACCATAACATTAAAACAGTGCATTTTCGGTCACCCTTCCGTTAGGTTGTACTCACACCATCTAACCATTCTATCATCCAAACATCTACCATTATAGCTTTAGTTAAACCAGTTTAGCTAACCAGTTTTCTGTTTAACTGCCTCGTTGGTGTAGTGGTAGCGTATGCGACTGCTGTGCTGAGGTCTCGGGTTCGATTCCCGGGTCAGACTAAATGTTTGTATCTTCTGCAAATATTTATTTAGGATTTTGGGTGTTATCTATGTACAATATGTGTGTATTTACAAATAAAAGTCGACACACAACGCCATCTAGTTTTAAACTAAGCAGAGCTTGTACTCTGAAAGCTAGATTGACTGATAAAAAACTTATATACTTTTTTTTTGTAAATACATATATTATATATAGAAAACACCCAAATTCCGAAACAAATATTTGCAGATCATATACTGCATAGATGACCATCTATTACATTGCTGGTAAATAACGTATATTGAGCATCAAACCATATTTCAGAACCAGTGCCCCAACCAAAGCCTATGAATCATTCACTGGAAGCAGCATCCAAGATGGTGCCTGTACCGGAGTCTTTAATGAGTCCGGATTATCAGGATCCCATATATGATATCCAAAGAAGTATACCAAAGCCTGTGAACCACTCTGTGAATAGTATTTCTAATACGTCATCACAGTCCAGTAACAGCAGTATCCACGAAGACAAACCCAGACAAGTAAGTAATTAAATATTGTAAAAACCAGTTCATTTGTGTTTACGGTCACTGCTCTGAAGGCCTAGTGTGAGTTTATTTCACATCAACTGGATGGTTACGGTGGCCGCGTTCGCCGTTGCGAATGTTATGCCTATGTTATTCCTTAATAAATGCTCTATCCAATACAAAAGATTCATTCGAATTTTCCGCCGTGGGAGAGACATGCTTTGCCACAAATAGCCGTTTCGAATGGAGTGATTTTTTGATTTATGTCGGATGTGTCTGGTGCTTGCACTGGATATTTTTTTTTAACGTGAGGAAACCCCTTCGGGCCGTCACCCCACCGGGGTTTGCGGCGGGGCGGTGTGTGGGAATCGACCCGATTAAAACCACAAGGTGTGCCACTCCGAGTAAAAACACACATGAGTACATATGGGCTATTAATTATAACATTATTGGTGGTTGTATGGATGGTATTAACTCTAAACTCGCTTAACGAATTTCTACGAAGTTTGTCATAGAGGTAGGTTAAAGTCTTGGAAAGCACATAGGCTATTTATTGTCAAGAAAAAAATGATTACAACATTATGTATATTAATGAACATTAACGTAAGAGAAACTGCGAGTAAAATCTAGTATAAAAAAAAACTCTTGGCAGTTATTATTCCCAGAAATATGTAGTAATCAATTTGTCATTTTATGTTGTTTTTCAGCATAATCAGGCGAAGAATTTAAAGGGTTCCCCTAAATTACCAAAGAGTGCGATGTCATCCCCAAAACTGAAGACTAAAATGGACCAAAGAAAAGGCAGCTTAACTAAACTTGAATTCAAAAATGATGACAAGAAATTGAATGGTATGTGTGTATTTCTCATACATATTTGCCTGCATGCGTGGCGTAGTGGTGTAACGTAACGTAACGCCGCTCACTACTACGCTGAGTCTTGTGGGTTCGATCCCCACATGGGACAACACTTAGTGTGATCCACAAATTGTTGTTCTGAGTCTGGATGTTCTTTGTGTACGTTTCATGTATGTTTGTAAAATCCCCGTGACACGGGATATATTCCAAATGCGTGAGTTGTCTTTTAAAATGAAAAAAAAAATAATTTACCCCCAATATTTGTTTGCATGTCCGTTTGTGTCATTTAATCTCACAAACAGACGGATGAGTTAAAATAATTCACTTTAAAAAACGAATCGCCGTCTTCGATGATGAATTATACATTAGATGAATAGGAAATATGCACGTGACACCAAAATGGACAAAATATTTTTATTTGTAATTTTTATTGCTAAAAAAGATACCCATACAATTATTTTTGAAATTTATAATAATTTAATAGTGAAATTTAATCATCAAAAATTGGCTTTTTTAAGATTCCCTCGCATATTTCTAAAACGGAACGCTATTGGTTGAATAAAACGTGACGTCAACCTACACTGTCAAGAGTGTCAACAAGTTGTGTGTATGTGTATATGTAATATTTGGTTTCTGGTGATTATTTGTTTCATTTTAAGTTAATAACTAATACGTTTTCAGTGTTAAATTATTAAATTCCCGTGTGGAAAGACTCAACACAATGACTGAATATACTTTGTCAGGTGCAGTTTTCATTATTTTGGCACAAAGGAACGGCACAATATTTATAATACGTTTTTATTGGCTTTTCCATGGTAATAAGTTAATTTATATCACTCACTTTTTTAACTTTCACAAACTTTGTGAACTTCACTCCGTTGTTGACATCGAATTCGTCTGAAAGTGTAATCTGACGTCACAAAAAAAGCGCGCCAAAATGGACGTGTTCAAATTGCCCCAAAATGATAGTGATATTAATAATTTTTTTTTGCTTAACGGTTTATATTACAGATGTGTTATATTTATTTTTGGTAATGTAATAACTAGTAGAATCGTTTAAAAAAATAAAAAAAATACATGCATATTCCCTATTATAATAAACACTGTATCCTTTACTTCTCGATTTTGCCACCTTAGGGTGGTATTTATTTTTCAAATTTGAGTGGGACCAAACGGGAAGTAATTCCGTTCCAATTATTTTTTTAAAATAAGTTTGTGACGGAGTTTTAAGGTCATTAACATAAAAAAAAAGATTATATATAGTATAGGTATAAGGTAAATAAAGGTCTTATAAAGACGTACTTTCAGTTTTGTGATTAAAGAACAATGGCAGAAACATATTTACCTAAAACTTAAGCGTTTAAAAAATCGAGTCACAGTAAACTTAATCAATTTTTCTTCTATGATTTATCATTACACCACCATGTGTTGTATAAGTCTTATAAGAGATAAGATATTTTTGAAGATTTTATTTGACCTAAGTACGTAATGTCAGATTCGCCATCACGTATAACTGACTAGGGATGCGTGGTGGCAATATTATATTATGGAACAATTTATCGATAATCGATTCTTATAGCTTTGGTTGAAATATTTACCGAAGGTTCACTATTATGATTATGAATTTGCTTATGCCCACGTCTTCACTCGTACGGTAGAGTGACTGAATCAACATAATTAGAAATGATTTAAAATATTTTTGACTCTCTTTAAACGATTTTAAACACACTAAAGAAATAGAATATAGTTACGTTATTTTCCACTACACAGTGTGATGAGAAAAATACATTGTCATTGATAACGGCACATAAATAGACATACATCGATATTTTCAAAATGTCGATACGTCGTCGTTTAGTACATATCTCTTAATCTGTGGTTTAGATCCTGTCAAGTTCTGGACTCACCACGTTTGTTATTTTATTTTTGTTTAATTTAGTGTTAAACTCGAATAGATGTTATGCTTTTATTTTTTTTATTTCATATACTGTAATAATAATGAAAATAATATTTTCGGCTATCTGACACACAACGCCATCTAGTTTCAAACAAAACATTAACAATATGTTAGTACTTAACCTCGAAACATTCAAAATTCAATATCTTTTTTCCTAGACTTCTTTCGCAAGTAATTTTGATATGAGAATGGTCAAGAATAAATTCTCAAGTGTTAAGGATTTTTTGATATTTAAACGCTAACATTTCAGTTCAAATAAAATTATGTATGGGGACCTGCCATTGTCCTTTTATGGCCATTAGGTCCAAACAGGGTTAGTCGTTAAAATAAAATAGTAAAGCGTTAGAGTTACAATAAAAATGGCCTAAGATACTTTAATAAAAAAAAAAATTCTAGCCTAAAAAATTTGAGTTGTATAACGTTATTTATTATGTTTAATGTGAACTGGTAACGTTATCAAGCCCTCGTTTTAGGTATGACGAGCGATAATACCAACCAAATGAGTGATATTATGAAACTGGCCTCCAACCAGCGGCGGCAGAAGAAGATGAGTGTAGAGTCCATGGCTGCAGTTACCATTCAGAAGATGTGGAGGGGCTACAGAAGTAGGAACTTAAATAAGGACACTTTGAGGATTCTGCATGCCATACAAGCTGCTAGAGCGAGACAACATATACAGTAAGCACTTTACCTAACACACAAATCGACGCTATCATTGAACCTTGTTGTGACTGATTGAACTAATTAAATCAACAATTTTCTCCGAGCCTTTTTCCCAATCTAGGGTTGGGGTCGGCTTTAAGTCTAGTAAGTTGCGGCTGATCTTCGATTTTTACGTGGAGCGACTGCCGTCAGATCTCCACAACCAAAGTACTAGGCGATATCGAAGTTTTGAAGAAAAACTGTTGTCGGAATATTTAGCTCCAACTACCCGTAAACTATTGCTTCAGATGTTTAAAGGGCAACCGGGACCAACGGCTTAACGTGCTAACTAACTCTCAATGTGTTAAAAATGGTTACCCATCCATATACTGAACAGGCCTGGATCGCTTGACTTTGCAATGTGTTAACCTTTTTTTTTGTTTTTTTTTTTTTTTTCTTCCCGTCCGAAAACCCCCACGGATACCACGTCGTCCGTGGCATTGGCACCGTGTCATGTCGGTGGCATGTCGGACTCGAACCGACTAAAACCGCACGCCGTCTCGGGTACTAGTAGCCGGGGAACCAGGTATACCCTAGAAAGGAAGTCCCTGTTGCCCCGACATACCTCGGGTCATCTACAGACGAGTAGACGACCCCCTGCAATGTGTTAACCTACTTCGTTACCACTTAGCCACGAGCCCCTCTAATTATAATTCTCTTCTAAATATATTACAATAAATTTTATAACAAAGTTTATCATGTATATTTCAATTTTGGTGCATAGATTGGATCATTCCAATCATGATAGTCAGTTAACACCAAACCAAACTGCATTTTTTGTAGTAGCAAACAAATATATAATACATATAATGGGTGAAGTGTAATAACAAAAAGGTAAATTTTCGTTAATGGGTAATTCTATATAAACACACAGTTTCTTTAAATACAAAATTGCACATAAATAAAAATTAAGAGCTAAAGATTTTTCGAACACATTGAGTTTTAAATGTTTCTTGTAAAATTTTAATTCTTAGTTTTGTTATCTTAGTTTTTTAGTTATTGGGGCTGCCAATCTTATATATAAAATTCTCGTGTCACAATGTTAGTTACCATACTCCTCCGAAACGGCTGGACCGATTTTTATGAAATTTTGTGTGCACATCGGGTAGGTCTGAGAATCGGCCAACATCTATTTTTCATACCCCTAAATGACAAGGGTGACCCACCCCTAAATATTTTTTTAGTATTGCCTAGAAGTAATGTATATGGCAAAACAACGTTTGCCAGGTCAGCTAGTTTTTATATATTTTTTTTATGTATGTGCAACAGTAGGGTATTTTTTTTAAACCTTAAGGTAGTTGAGTTGTTCAAGCAGAAATCTGTCATAGCTACTACTTTGAGCGGAATACGTATATGTTTATTTAATATTCTTAATTTAAATTCATAAAATGTTAGGTCTTTATTTAGTGGTATGTTTTGTAGACGGTTAACATGCGACATGGAGGCTACGAAAGCGGCGCTGGAGAGCGAGAGGAAGATTCAACAGCTGCAGATGCAGGCCATCAATGCGCTGTGGAAGAAAGTCTCCACGTTGCAGGCTACTGGTGAGTGAAATATTTTGACGACACGGATGCGTACCAAAGCTCTTCTAGGTCTTACTTATGTCAATGGTCTTTTTGCCTAATGTGAATCCTGAAGATATGATAGAGATATGTAGGTATTTAGAAATATCAAAGGAGAGGGTAGATTGACAATTAATAAGGCTCTGTTCTGCGGAGTATAGGGAGGAGCATTTTTATGTTTGAATTGAATGTCGGGGTCGGACTTGTGATCGAGTAGTTGCCAATTCGAAAAAAAGACAAAAATAAGATACTAAGAACTATTTAAATGTATTAAAACAGCCTCCCAGCTGTGGACTATTAGAGGCTGCAGATGATGATGATGGATGGTGACCTCTCGCGTCCATTGTTGTGTCAGCAATTTGTCGCTGTACTTGGAATTCTGTTTAAATCAAATTAATATAATAATACATTTTACTTCAGAAAAATATTTGTTCCCCAGTGTGTTGTAGCATTTAAATCTTATTTTCTAGTGTTAGTATTAATACACCTACCAATAAAACTTTTCTTAATGGGAGAGCTCAAGTTCTCCGAAAGAGTTTTCAGGATACCGTTACGACAATATCTAACTTAGTAGTGAAGCTGTTTTCTTGGATTAGCTGTTCACTTATATGGATTTTTTAGATAACCAAAAACCGAGAATGTTGGACCCTGAGGACAACACCGACGTGTTGCGGCAGCTAACAGAGACCTGTTTCAGTTTACAAGCACAGGTTCGTTACATTTATTACCTCACGAGCAAACGGGTCATATTGTGTTCCCTATGACTACTAGACCAGCATGAGGGAGGGGGGGGGGAGGGGTGGTTAAATTCAAAGCATTGACTCAAGATTGGTCATATTTAGACGTGAGAAAATATTTTACCTCTACAGGTGGAGAATTTTGGAATGAAGAGTATAGCTAATTACATCATACGATAAATGATTTATATGTATTTAAATAGGTGATATATTTTTTAACCACGTTTAAATGTCTTTTTGAAACAATGGAAATAATAGTGTAAATGCATTTTAAATCAGCCTGTAGAAAGTTATTAAAAATTACTTATACAGGATTTTTTATATGATTTTTTAAATTCATTTTAATTTTTTCTCGGGCCTATTGGTCTGATTTCCGCACGGAAAAAAGGGCCTATTGGTCTAGTGGCTTGTGATTCTGACTGCTAAGGCAGAGGTTTTGGTCCGATTCAAACGCAGTACAAATAATTTAAGTCAATTCTTGTTTAAACTTTTTTGGATACGTTTCATTAGTCCCGTTATTGGATAACAGATGGCATCAAGTGTCTGAAGAGAGACAACCATAATATGTTATATTTGCAGATTATAAAAATAAGTTAACTTTAAAACCATACTTTTTGTGTCCTAGGTGGTGGAGTTGCAGAGTTGTATGCAGGAAGTATTGAAGGCTGTGTCCAATAAAGGCCAAGCGGAGGGTGTCGGCACACAAACAGACATCACGGCTATTGACACGCCACAGGTGAATATACTTATCTAATTTAAAAAAAAAACTAGTTAATGCTTAATTTATTGTAGATTTTGGTTTTAATTATCTATCTCTCGTGAACAATTTTACTAATTGACTCGCTCAACTTCGACTGCGTCTCTCAAAAGGAATACATTTTCCCCGTTTGCAACATATTTGTTTGATGTTCAGCTCCTATCGGTGGTCCAACACTAAAAGCATTTTTCAATTCGAATCAGCAGTTTATGAGTTAAGCGCGTTCATTGTATCTGAGAACGTGATAAGTGTTGAATGTGTCGGTGTGTGTGCAGGAGGAGCGCGGCTCGTGGCTGCGGCGGCCGCAGTCGCTGCCGCTGGCCGTGGCCGAGCCGCGCGACGAGCCCGCGCACAAGCCGCGCGACACCGACCTCGTGTGAGTCATTTCACTCTCGCTTACGTAACATTGTTTATTAACCTATTTCTAACATAAATCGACATTTTTAACAAGCTTTTATTAGCTCGATATGCATGTATCCATGTAACGGAATCTTGGAACGTGATTTTCACCCACTTTCAAAACGTCGAATTAAATTGAAACTTGGCACACTTATCGAGGCCCGATACCCGACGATAAGTTAATACATTTTGAAAGATTAACGGCTTTTTCATACCTGAAAATACGGCAGTGTCTTCTGTTACATAGACGTGTGCTAAAACATATGTGATTTCCTTACTTGTTGCTTTTTTATTTTTTATTATTTTCTTTAAACAAAACCCATAGAAAATTATTTTCTACTTTTTAGTTTGCCTAGTTACAAAAACGTGTTTTTTAAACTATATTTTATTATAATGACAAGCCTGTTTAGCCTAGTGGTCAGTGATCCTAACTGCTAAGCCTGGGGTCGTGGGTTCGATTTCCGCCCAGGACAAATAATTGTATGTAGGCACGATCATTTGTTCTACGTCTGGGTGTAATTTATGTATAGTATGAATGTATTTAAAAATATAAATAGATGTTTATCAGCAGTCTGGTTACCATACCACAGGCTCTGCCTAGTTTGGAATCAGACTACCGTGATGAGTTGACTGAAGTAATTATTATTATTGTAAACTTACCCTACCATGACTGGTCAACATATGTGTGAGACCTTTAGACTACAAAGATTCCTATTACGGTACTTTTGCCTTAAAACAATAAAATACCCTAGAAAATATAATTAAAATTATTGTGTTGCAAGATACTTATAAAACATGTACGGTAATTCAGTTATTCTTATAACATTAGCTGACTAATGAATGACTGTCAAATGAAATCAATGTCTTTTTATTAAACATCAAAACTAAAAATAATTTTTTTGTATGAAATACTAAGGCGTTACGTAATAGCCTAGCTATGACAAATCATTCATTTTTAATCTTAATTAAAAAATAAAAATAGTATGTATGTATATATGAGTTTATACGTATAATATATTTTACTATACAAATTAATGTCGGTATTTGTTTAATTTATATAGTTTTCTCTACTGATTCCCAAGCATGGACTGTCCTATACTCGCTTAAGGTTTGCTGGAAGAAAACTCAGTTTTGGATTAAGCTCGCCTTTGTACATGACATTTCCTTGTTACTTATTTTTATATGTGTGTGTCCAGGGTGTACAACAAAGAATAGTTGAAAACAAACATTAAATTGATAATATAGGACAATTCATGCTGTACCTTCAGCTGTTCATCAACATCATCATCATCAACAGCCTTTAATAGTCCACTGCTGGACATAGGCCTCTCCTTAGAAAGGAGGTTTTGGCCTACTATACCACGCTGGCCAGACGGGTTGGTATAGGGTTTGTGTCAAGTTTTCCTTCTCTTTGCAGTGCTGTTGTCCTGTATAGTTTGCTCCCTTAGTCGGCTCTTACGACACTCATGGGATGAACAGGGGTGGTGACACTCCGTATTCTTAATCCATCACCACACGGACCTCAGCTGTTTCATTTAATGATTCAGGCGATATTTTTTTTTTTTAAATATGAATCTACCCTATTGCAGTGAGAAGTCAAGCGACTCGGCCGCTCTGGGCATAGAAAGGACCGAGTCGGTCATAGAAGAGCAAGCGGAGCCGAACGACGACATCAACGCGGTTCTCGGTGACGTCATCGTCCACTGATGTATATATATCGGTATGCAAATATTCAGTCGAGGGTATCTACGGGCTTTTTGATTTAGTTCTTTGTTAAGTTTTTAAGAGGTAGTGTACGAAATGAGGGGATTAAATTATTTTATTCTTTAAATAGAATGGCGATGGTCTATTTTATTTGTAGGTTCTGAATGCTGTTTCTAAACCAGCAACGATGACCTCTGTACGGTAGTTCATTGTCGAGTAAAAAAAAATATAACAATATGTTAAAAAGGTAGATTCTCTAGGAACTTTTATTAAATAACGGTTTGTGACGTCATTTCTCATAACACCAAGTGATTGTTTCAACAGTACGTACTGTTTGTTAGGAAATTGAGTTATAGTTTTCTGCACTGCACACATGAAACAAATACACTATACGGTACAGTACACTATCTCTTAGTTGTAAAACATTGTCAGGTTTTCATTAGAGTCGTGAATGTGTAGGTCTGCCCACAATGCAAATTGAATCTATTCATATTAGTCATAAGGTTCATATTCATGGTACGCTAAAGCAAAGCTTGGTATGTAAAGTGGGCTTGTTGTTAAGGTGAGCTGTAAGTGTGTAATAAAATTGGATATTAAGTTATTTTAAGTGAAGATGTTGATGTTGAGATAAGGGTATTTTTTTTATTGCTAATTGCACGGTATTTTCGGTTTTTTAAAGATACGAGTAATTTTCTTTATTCGATTTATTTTTCTATGTCAGTGGCGTTTGAAAACAATAATATTATGTTTAAAATTTCATGCACGCTTTATTGAATTTTGCGTGAATATAACTAATGAATTTCTTCATAAATTCCAAGAAGTTTCTTGCCAAAAACTGAGTTTTATATTTTCTATATACTCCGTCGTCTCTTATTTAAGATCAAAGAGGGCAGTGGATCAGAGGATATTAGAAAACCAACGTGATCATTGCAGTCTAAACAACTTGAAATACCTCTAAATGGCTGCACTAAAACATATACCAAAAATAGTCTAGAATATGTCAATATAAAAAAGTCAGTCCATTTCAGAGCTAAAATAACAAAGACAAACATACCTATAAAGACGATAAAGATATATTTACCTTTGTTGTCATAAATACATTTTCAAAATGGACATTAAATTAAATTTCAATGTTTAAAATACTGTCTGTATTTTAAACATTGAAATTAATTAATACCAAAAAGTACTAAAATATTTGTTAGATTGGTACATAAATGACAATTGGATCTAAAATGTTTAGTCATAAGTGTTCGTATATTTTCGAGTTAAGTGTTAATATGTGTTTATATATTGCCGAACTTAAACAATTTGCTAATTGTACACAAGACCAATTCAAACAAGACTGTGAAATTACGAATATTGATCTTTTCAGCAATCCTTGCCATTCGTATACGGAAAGTTTATTATTTTTTTTGTAACAATTTCTTTAATTTTCGAGTTTTTTTTCAGTGATAAATGATTCGTGTTATACAGAAATGATTAAAGTCACCAACGGGAAAAAACTGTTACTATTTAAAATATTTGTAGAAATACACATTTTTATTACAAATCCTTGAATCATCTAACTACAAGACCTTACCTGGTCGAAACGTCAGGTAATTTTAAAATATGTTATAAGTTTTACACGATGGCGTCAATTCCCATATTTAATAATTTATGTATCGGGTAATGAGAATGTTTCAAAGTTATATAAGAAATTTTCTTCCATCACAAGCAAGTACATAGGTTTTTTCTCAATATGAATCCAGATAATTTTGGACTTGTGGAGGAACGGGTATAATTTCCCTTCATAACAAAGGGGGGATTCTTCAATAAGACGAGGTGATCATGTCTGGCGGGCCGCGGCCCAACAGCGGAATTTGTATATTTTGATATCGCGATACAGGATTAGTAGTTACCCCTTAGTTCGGTGTGTCTTCGTTAGATGGCACTCGAGTATGTTTCAGTTGTGTTGTATGTGGAAGTCGCCACAGAGTCCTCATTGGGATTATTAATTGGACCAGTTTGTGAATCAATCTGAGAAATCATTTCTGTACAACATATTCCTTAAAATTTTGTTGAAAGGTGAATGCATAATATAATGAATAGGCATAATTGACAGTTGTAATAGTTTTAAGTATACAAAAAGTGGTGTTCAATTTGAGCAGGAATATTTATTTTTAACATGTTATGTAGTGGCAGATAATTAATGGTATTGTCCTGAAAACATTATGAGGTAAACTGGCCTTGTACGGCTTGTAGCGTGATTTTAGGGTGCTTCCACACGATGCAAGTAGATTGCGCATGTTGAGGCACTTGCGCACCGCACGCTCCGCGGGTTACCTGCGCAGGTAGAGACATGCGCAACTGTTCGACTGACAGAAACCTCTATGGAGACTTGTTGACGGAGTCATCAGAATAACCCCTCGTGTGTTCATCAATGCATGCATATATGTATGGATGTATGTGTGTATGTTTATGTTTTTTATATTTATAGTATTATATAGTACGTATAAATTATATTTACATCTATATGTATATCACCGTATATCTGTGTAGTAAAATATCTTGCAACCGACTACAATTTAAATAATTTATCACATTATACACCTGCCACACACAAATCTCTGCATCACCCCAAGGTTGACTGGAAGAAAATGCCTATGGCATTAAGTCCGCCTTATGCAATGTATTTGCAGGAAGTATAAATAAATAAAAACCGGTTTAACACAGCAGTTTTGCGCGGATTATTTGCTTCGCGAAAAGGACTATGCGGGTCCAGCGACTCGAGCATGTAACCCGAGCAGCCTGGGCATTATATCAATCAAAGCTCCAAGTAACTTGTGCATGCTGTTGACGCAAATAACTCCCGTCTTTGCCCGCTCCACCTACTTGCACCGTGTAGAAGCACCCTTGAACAGCCTATACCTTTTTCAAGAATTTGGTTATAAAATACTATAATAATTATTCAAAGCTTGGTATTTTGAGAGAATAATTCGTTCAAACAATGTAACTTATTATATTAGTACACTGGCTTTCATACACGGCTTCGCTCGTGTAGCTTTATCATGGTTAGATGAACAGTACAATTTTAACACAACCATTGATTTTTTTTTATGTCAGAGGGGGCAGACGAGCAATTTCGATTGATGAAGATGATACTTATACCATTGGCGTGATGATTACCTGCTACGTATGATCTAGAAATGACGAAATCGAAGATAATTCGTCTATCGATAGTTTTTTTTATATATACCGAATATAGGCCGGGCCACATCATATTTTGGATTCTGATGATGATGAACAATAGATTTCTTTTTTTTTAATTTGTGCGATAGCAACGAAGTAAATAATATCATTCCTAAAAACTACTTTGGTCTTTTTATAATTTCGTTTTAACATATTATTATTACATTTATTTTTATAAAGTGTTTTGGATCTGGTAGTATAGGCAGCATTATATAAATATTTTTTTATTCTACCTATTTATTCTTTAATCTCAGCTATTTACTTTCCCGTTTACTCAACTTAAGACATCGCAGAGGGAGGGGGAGGCAGTATTTTAACCAAAACTTGAAACGACTAAATATTTTTTTTCATGCAGTTTTTGATGTTCTTTTTTTGAAGACTTTTATTGGCACATGATACTCGTATTGGAATCGAATTTAAATCGGCTAAAATAACTAAATACAATAAAGTATTTATGATACGACATTGCCATTTATCCGCGGAACCAACATTGTTCGTAGAATGCTGAATACCTAGAAGTAATGCCATTAGTCAAACAGATATAACTTTAACGAACACAAATATTACTCATTTTTTTATAATATTATTTACTAAAAACTTGTATAGTTCAACAGCGATGTCCAACGTGGACGTATAAATTGATCAAAATTTTCTCTGATAAAATTCAATTTAAATTGAAATATAATTAGATTACATACTTACTTTGTTCTGAATAGTTATTGCTCACTTGTAGATTTGGATGTATTGTAGAATTTCACCTCTAAACAGAATTCATCCTACCACTACCATCCTACTACCTTCATAAGCAAATGCGAGTACGACGCGTGCGAGTGCGCATTGAACTTAATGCTGCAATATTTTTTATTTTTTATTACTATTATTATTCCGTGTATTACCTAGTTAAGGAATCTCTACGCTTGATTTTTTTTTATGATATAATTAAATTAATTTAAACTTTAGGGATCGTGGCTATTTGAATTATACTTGCTTGATTACAAATTTCGATACAATTTGGATAAAGACTTAAAAAGATTATTGACAAATTAATACTGAGCTTTAACGTTCTAGTAACTTATGGTAGTTGCTTAACAAGTTGCGTCGGGGACCGAACAAGTTGGACCAATGAGCCAACGTGTTAGATCAGGGACCCGACAAGTTGGATCAGAGACCCGACAAATTTGATTGATGACTCATCATGTATAATTTTGGTTCAATAATTCAAATAACCACAATAATAATGGAGCTCTTTTATGCTAAATACTAGTCATTTTTAACGACGCATTGTCATATAATTCTTAGTGTTCAGTGCAATTAATTTTAGCTTCGCAGTACATGACATTAATGTGTTCACAAACATTTTCATAATAATATAATTATTATAGATAAGCAAAGTTAGGAACAATTGTAAATGCGTTTTTACTGGATTAAATACAACATCTGGACTGTGGGACATTAGTAATGCTAAAAAAACTTGGGAAGCTGCTTAAAAACTTAGGAAGTATGCTAAAAACTGAGGACTAATGCTAAAAACTTGCGAACTTGCTGTCTAAATATTTGTGTACAGTTGGTAAGCCCTCGATGCTACCCATATTTATAAATATGAAACTTCTCATAGTTGTAATAACAGTAAAAACGCCATAATAAATACAATGTATAGTAACGAATGTTATATTATTTCGAACCGTTATAAAGTGTAAGCATATGGTGATATAAATCTGTTTGTCTTCACAATTTTTTCTACCAAATCTTGTTCTTAAATTGTTTTTATTAAATGCACCTTTTTACTGAAGCGTTAAGAGCTAACAGTTTATATTGAATACACATTGTGAAGACAGTATCAGATGTCTAAATATTTGCCGTCCTGTGTAATTTCAAGTTTATCACATACCCACCTATTTGTTATCCATTACGTTATAGCCTGTATTTATTATGTTTTATAAAACAATTTTGAAACTTCGACCATTTTATTTCTTGATATTATCAGCAAATTGGTCCAACTTAGGACAAGTTTTCGTTTATTCGACCACATAGGCTCAGTGCAGACCGAAAGCAGCAACGATAGTTTATTTTTGAGTGTGTTAAAAACATCATCTCCGCTGCGCTGCTCTCGATCTGCGCTGGCTTTTATTAACCATGGGAGAGCCATGCTTCGGCACAAAATAAGCCTGCTCGACCGGCGTGATTCCACGGCCTCACAGAACACCAGTGCTTAGCAATTTTTCTTTGTTTTCACCGGGTGAATGATGTCAGTGGAGCCAAAATTTCCCTCCCTCTAATTCTCACACTTGTAGATTCGGATCGGACACTTTCCACGAGAACCTAAACCTTATTCATCAATAGTCGTAAAAAAACGAGACTGGTGCGTGGTTCTGCAATCTTCTCGTGGTTGTTCTCGTAGCTAGAGTTTTTTTTTAATTAAAAGAAAATGTATCAAAGTATCTTTATCCGTTTTCTTGAACTCAATGCAAGTCAAGTTCAGGTGTCCCAAAACATTGTAATATTACTCTCATTATTACCTATTACGTTTTGGCTGAAACAATTGATTTTGGATTTGATTTTGGATTTTATTACAAATTTATCATTAAAAAGAACAGATCATAGTATAAAAACTGTTCTATAATGTATTACGATACGGTATCATGTATGATTTGAGACTGGCTATGTCACTATCGGAAGGATTACCAAACATTCTTGAAGCTATGTTGATAGGATAGTCAATATCTGGTCTTACATACCATCAAATACATGAGCGATCCCACAGCTTCTCGATATTGAAAATTGATTTTGATGTTTCCGTGTTCCTTTTCATTGTCTAAATCATCCTTAAAATCGGAGTACTAACAGGTCGACACTCATCCATCTGCAATGTTTTAAGAAGCCTCCTAATGTAAGAAGATTGGCTTATTTTGACACCTTCCTTGCTCCTGTTAATCTCCAAGCCAAGATAGAAATCGGCTAGTTTAGTCTTGATTTTGAACTCCTGTTTTAATTTGTCTAAGAGCTCCATTGCTTCTTTTTCATCTGAAGCAGCGATTAATCCATCGTCAACATACAAAAATAACAAAATCTTTTTACCATTTACATCTTTGATAAATAGGCAAGGTTCTGCTGAGCTAATTTGAAAACCAATGCTAACTAGGAAGTTCTTTATCTTCTCGTTCCAACAATACTAATGCAGGACATCGATGTTCAGCCTTCGTACCATCCTTTTGTGTTCTGGTTACGGATGTTTCATTGACTTTTGGGTGGAAACCATTAGTCAAAAATAGAACTTCCTTTGTATCCTGCCAGATCGCAAAAGCTACGTCTCCTTTTACTCTCCATTTATACTCGCCTTTTTTTAATTTCAGTTTTCTTTTGCTCTTCACAATTTTAGGTAAGTCGGCCCTTTGCCTGCGTACAGTGCCAGTAGCATGAATACCATTGGCGTACAGATAACTCATGATATCATAACCACAATTTTTTTTTATCAAATGTGACATGCACGGCTGGCATTCCTTTTAATTTTTCAGTCAACTTCATGACCACCTTTGCTCCTAAGTTGTCTTCCACTCTGTCACCATCTTTTCCAGTATATATATCAAACTCGTATAAATAACCAGCATAACTGTCGCACCTGCACCACACTTTGAAACCCCTTTTTATTGGCTTGAGGGGCATTTATTGCTTCAATGAAGACCTCCCTTTGAAAATAATCATCGATTCGTCTATTGACTGTGAAGAAGAATTGTGTGCGTTTTCTTGAAAAAGCCTGTTGAGAAGTGTCACCAAAGGTCGAATTTTATACAATTTGTCATAAGCGGGGCTAGACCTCGCCGGATTCTTAGAATTATCATTCAAATGCAAACATCGTAAGATTTGTTTGAATCTTCTCAAGGGCATGGTGGAAGCTATTTCGTCAACTCTAAAAGCGGGATCAGATGACCAGTAGAGTTCTAAGGAAAGTAAAATAAATTTGTGTGATCTGATCTGGATCCTGTCATAACCAAGAAGTGCATCTAAGAGATCCACACCTCCCATATGACTGTTGTATGTCGTGACAGCCTTTGGACAGGGGATAGCTTTGTACACTTTTTCTTTTTTATTATAGCGTCTCACTTCTGTCATGGGTTTGCTACCAACGTAGGTTGATACCAAGTTTACAACTCTGTTGTCATACCACGTTGTCACAGCTATGTCAACATTGTCCACGGTTGAAATTTTTTCAACTGTAGCACCACGTCCTTTCTTTTTCAACTCTTTTCGAGTGGAACTTTATATCCTGGAACGCGGTTGGCTTTGAATGTGCCCAGGGGCAAAATACCCTGTTTTGTTAAGTAAACTAAAAGTGGCAGTGATGTATACCAATTGTCAAAGAAAAGTTGGTAGTTCATGTTCTGTGGAATAGTTCTTGCAAGCCGGACGACGACATTGCTTGAAGTGCTGATGTTCGGCAAATTGCCATCTACCGTTTCAGAAACATGAGCACCTGTGTATAGCTCAAAGTCGTAGCTGAAACCAAAACTGCCGCTCAAGACCAAGTTCTTGTATCCCCACTTATGTGGCTTTTTTGGGTTGTACTGCTTCATTGTAGACCTGCTTTAGTTGGTATTATTTGTTCGTCGACGGCCATATATTCCTCTTTCGGAACAGTCAATAGTCGTTCTCTAACTTGGACAAGAAATGGCCTGAGTTTATGGAGAGGATCATAGCCAACCCGATCTTTGGGAATTTGGGTTGTGAGTCATCATTAAAATGTAAGAAAAGTTTAATTTCTTCAAAGCGATTACAGAACATAAACGAATTCACTTTAGGGTGTCCCAATACCGAACTCCAGTAGTCTCTGGTCGAAGGCAGCTGAATAATAGACATCATCAGGCATATACCAACAAACTGTTCTATATCCGCACTGGTAACTATCATTGGCTTTTCGGGGCGTTTTTCAACTGCATATTTGAGAGTTTCTTGTGTAATGTAATGAAACATATCATCGGTGAACAAATATTTGAAAAACTGAACAGGTGTCTTTAATTGCATTATATCAGCAGGCAAGCTGGTATTACCTAAGAACTGAATTTCTGTTTCCGTTTTCTCTAAAAAACCATCCCTCCATCTAGGTTTTGCATTTCTGTTAGCACGTGAACTGGTACTGGGAAGTTCTGATAATGGAATGTCGTCTTCCGTGTCAGAATCAGATTCAGATAGTATTACAAGTGGCCGTTTCTTAGCCCGTCTTCTGTAGTCATCATCATCAGAAAGCTCGTCATCAGTGCTGCCGTTAGGAAATTCTTGAATAATGGTATGTATACCTCCATAAAATTTTCTGGGGTCCATTATACTACAACAAAACAATATAAATCTATAAAATAGGGTCTCTTAAAATTCCATCCGAATGGGTTGTTGTTCATATAAATTGCATTCAGCCTAAATCACATAGGTATTTATTTTTTAAAATGTTTTGTCATGCGAGAATCGAACCCACAGCCTTTCATTGAAATAAAAGTCACAGTCCGCAAGTATTACGTTAATGCATGATGTACCAAGTATAAACCAACAGTAAAAGGAATATTTCTGCATGTGAGCCAACATGCATATTTAATCCATACCTAAAAATAACATTTTCTTAGAGTAAAACCATTAAAAAAAACAGAAAACCTCACCTTGTCCAGATGAGTTGCAATATTTCACCAACGTTACGTATTTTTACTAATAGAAATTGCGATGATAACTATTTTTAAACAATTTTGAAAACACATTCACGCGGAGCACTGGTCGAAACCTGTCCTTCTAACTTGCAACTGATTTTTAGTGCAGTTCTTCTCCCAGAGATGGCGTTGTCAGTATTTAGAATGTAAGCGTACGTACCGCTTATGATCCTTCATGCAGAAAACGAAGATATATTTATGCAAATACTGATCAAAGAACGGTGTGGATCATATTTGTACCAAAATCAAGTAAAGGGTTAATGATTGAAATATCCTTAAACTATGAGAAAGTGTTAATGCAATAGAGCAATTTTATTTTTTTAATTCTGACAGAACTAATTTTAATATTAACAAATGAAGAAAAATAAATAACGAAAATCAAGGAAATATAAAACATTATTAAGAACGATATTATGAAGAAGGAATCATAAATCAAATGTATCATTCATCTCCCAAAGGCTCATCTTTTTTGGAATTGACTTTATCACCAAATTGTGAGTTAGTTTTACGTGAATTATCTGAAAGAAAAAAGAAAGAAACATTTATTTGCACAGAATACAGGTGGTACCAGATTTTACAAAGATGTATAATGTTCAAGCTATATTCTGCCTGTACTAGGCATGCAAATATTTATATAGAGACTCAAACATTAACTATTAATAACTATTAACTAATAAAATTAACAAAATGTCAAAAAATGTTAATACATTTTTAGTGTTTAAATTATTAAATTTATTGAATTATTAAATTTCATTTATCTAATTTATTAAATCTACAAATGATCATATACATCAGTTTTATATTGCATGAACTCTTTCATTGTATAAAAGCACTTATCAACTAGCCATTTTTTTAACTTAGGGTCAGATGGGGTAAATGCGAGGGCCATAACAAAATTTAAAAGTTCAAATTTAAACTGTTTATTCCCTAATCAGTTACAAATAATTCACATTTGCAGATGTTATTAAGCACATATTTAGCTATTATTTACTGTATTTTAAGTGACAAAAAAGTATATATTTTAAGAAAAATGGACCCAAACACAGTACAGTGTCTCATTATTACATTTCCCCCCTGGAAAGGGGAAAATTTAATAATCATAATTATCAAATTTGTAAAGAGTGTCTATGGATTGATTTCTGGGATAAAAGCGAAAAATTAAAAAAAAATAACAAATATTTCAGTTTTTATTTCAACAAAATCGGACAATCACATCAAAACTTATAAACTTTTTCCTAAAATTAATATTTTACTAATGTTAACTTATTGGGGAATATTTAGGAAATAATCATATTTCTGAATTTAAAATCAAATGTTATTAAACCTCGCTTAGTTATTTCGGGATTAGTTAGTATCTTAATGATGGAGTCAGTCGTAATTTCATCAAGATCCTCCGTTATTGGCCAGGCAAACATACATCCCTTGCGTCTTACAAATTTAACCTCCCAACGAAGCCCCACCTTTTTTTGTACAACACCTACGTAGTATTTAGGTCCTTTTTTCAGTGCATATTTTACTATAACCCAATTGTTCACAAGGATTTCTTGAATTTTGTCTTCTGTTTCTTCCTCTGTTGGGGTTCTCTCAGGTCCTTCTATATTATCTATATTTCGCTCTTCATTTGCTTTTTCGTGTGATCCTTCCCGTTCAGTTCTTATCTGTTCTTTTGCTAATTCCCTTCCTTTATTCATCCCCACTCTTCCAATTCTATTTTTCATCACAGTTGTTTTTCTACTTTCGTTATTTTCTTTATCAGAATGATATTGTTCATCGTCTTCTCGTTGTTCGTCTTCGTCTTCCATCCCTTCACTAGCATCTGATTTTGCATATGACACATTACCTTCAGAACTTTCCTCACTCTCTGTATCGTCTGACTTTTGCTTTCGGTTTAAATTCCTCCTTTCTTTCCTTTTACTAACTTTTTTTACTTTGTTTACGTCACTACCAACCTGTACAGATTCTATGTCCGTTATGTCACTATCTGAATTCTCAGTTTTTGGGTGTAGTTTTTATTCGCTTAGCTGATTAAATTTGTTCTTTGTCCTTCAATACTTTAACAATTTCAGCAGATGTAATAACTTCAGCACCCAAGGCTACTTTCCGTCTCTTTTGTTTATTTGGCATCTGTTTTTGGTGAATAACTGACAAAATTAATTGCTCCATAGATGCGGCTTGAGAGAATTTAGGATTATGAACTGGGTTTTCTTGAGAACGTGGAGTATCAATAATGGAGCTTTGTAGATCTACAGAGTTGACATTCAGTGTCTGTAAACTGGAAGTCTCGTATACATTCTCAAAAAACGGCAACGTTAAAAGCGATGGCGATTCACACCTTGCAATTTCAACGTGCTCTATATCTTGAACACCCCTTTCAATTTGTTGTTGGTATCTCCCCCAACGCTCTAAAGCTTTTTTGGAGAAATTCCCCTTTGGAACAACATCAACATCAAACGGGAAAATGCCTGCCTTCTTAAATCCGTTCTTGATGACGTCGTCGCTGACTTTGGTCCAAGTTTCTCCTAGAAATTAAGAAAATAGAGATTTGGGTAGCTTTTTACCAATATGTTGTCGCTGCCAAGTTGCTATTGTTTGGTCCCATTTTTGTTTGTAAGACTTGAAAACCGAGACATCTAATGGTTGTAGAATATCACTAGTGTGGGCAGGGAGTTTTAAAATAGTTATTCTTTGGTCCAAAGCATATTTTACCAAGCCAAGCGAAACATGAGTGGAGTGGCCATCGTCTATAACCAAGGCAGGTCTTTCATCACCCAAAGCCGGTACCAGGGTTTTTTTAAAATAATTTTTGAAAACTTCAGTCTCCATCCAGCCATTAGGTGTCGCCGCGTAAGCTGTTCCAGGAAATTCTTTATCCGGTGGTGCCTTCTATTGATCCCACATATTTTTTCCCTTGAATATTATTAAAGGAGGCACTCGTTGACCCATAGCATTACGGGCTAAAACAAAAGTAGTGTTTTCTTTACCCGAGGTGCTTGTAACTCGTGATGAGCTTTGACCTTTCTCTCCTACGACTCTTGATTTGGATGGATCGATACTAAGGCTGCTTTCATCCAAATTCCAGATACGACCAGGCTTGTTCTCTATGTCCAGTTCCACCAAAACCTTTTTTAGAAGATTGAAATATCCGTAAATGTTAAATGGGTCTGTAGCAGATTTCTTTCTAGCAAATTCTAACGGCTCCGGTTTCCGAATGGACAAGTTGTGTCTCTTTTTAAAACTAAGAAACCAGTCCTCCCCCGGAACCCCATTTTTGAAAGGTGTTTGAAGATCGTTTTTTGTCACAAAATGACCCACCAATTCGAGAATTTCTTTCCTGCTAAGACCAAAACCCCACTTTGCTAGCGTTTTGATAGAAGTCGCTAACACATTCTCAATACTTTCAGCGAGAGCAGTTCTCCTTCCCTTTGCTTTTTTAATAGCTCCTCGCGTGCCTTTAATTCTACTATATAGAGTTGAAAACGGAATTCCATACAAAGTTGACGCTCTATGAATTGTTAATTTGTCCTCTGAATATTTGGGTCCAGTCTCCTTTTTTTTAACGTAATTTCGCACCATCTGGAAGAACAAATTATCTATGGGTAAATGTAATAATTATATATTACATTTGCCCCAGTGACACAAATTTCGGGGGTAAATGCAATAATGAACGTACAATGAAGACGGTACCACATATATCAAAAATACATGTTTAAAAGAACTTTCTAACACATAAACTGTCATACTTGTAGAAAAGAAATCAAAAACTTACTTTAAATCCTTTGATGATACTGATGCAAAGTTAGGTTGTGAAATTTGCACTGCACGTCTTCACGATGTCCGACACGCGATCATATGTCACTCCTTTATTCATCGGTAAAACAGTGTCAACAAGCGCTTAGCTTAAAGTTGAAGAAGTACGTATGGTATATCAGAGATGGCAGCACCGATTACTTTAGTATAAATAAGTTTGAAATATCCAAATATATTAAGTTGCAAATGCCCCACCTAACCCTAATTTTAAAATATTTAAATGGAAGTTCCCTTAGGCTCTTAGGAAGTTTATTGAAAACTGATATGCACATGTGATACACATTCTTTTTCATCAAAGATGTTCTACAGAATGGAATCATTAGTTTCGTAGGATCTCTTGGTCTGTATTTAGTAACATCCCAGATCCCCCTTGAATTTAAAGAAATTATTATATTACCTTACAAAGATTGATACTTCAAGAACATACATGCAGGTCAATGTCAGCAAATTATGTTTTATAAACAACGGTTTACAAGAGTCAAGTGGACTCACTCCACAAACAGCTCATCAGAAAAGTTATCTGAATCATCTGAACTAACGTTGCGTTAGTTTTACGAGATTTTTTCTTTGGTTCCGCCTTATCTGAATCATCTGAACTAGACGAAACGTTACTGTTACGAGATTTTTTCTTTGGTTCTGCGTCATCTGAATCGCTACTACTGGAGTCAGACGAGTCATAACTAGAAGACGAGGTTTTTTTTGTAGTTTTGATGGTCTCGTTTTTTTTTTCTCAAACCAGATATTTTTCTGCGGATATGGTCATCGCATTTTTCAACTTCCGCGTTCATATAAGCTTCTCTCTGTATAACGGGTACTTAAATAATATCGGAAAATACCTAAAATCCAATATTTAATTATAAATTTGTAATTAAGTTCAATAATACAATATAAAAAATAAAATGTGAATTGCATTAATAATTTCATACCTTTCACGGCTAGTCTGATCGTTGGATCAAGTCCAGGTTTGCGGAACGTCATTTAAATTTTATTAGATTTTCCATCTTTAACACTATGATTTATTATTTCTTCAGGAGTATACTGGGTCATTATATTTTTTTTTCACCAAAACAGCATTGGAAGTAGCATCGGAAGCAATTGAATCATACGTTTTCTTAGAGATGTAAATGCCTTCTCCTAAATGTATAGAATTATCGCTTAGTCGAACAAACCCAGATTCGGGTAAACCAGTTCTTTCTTCTAAAATTCGAGACGATGAAGTAGTCGGCATACTTTTAAATTCATTCCAAGTATCTATCAAAATATGAACCAAGGCTCTTAATTCCTTAAGTTCAGAACTATGTTTACTCTCTATCTGAGTTACTGATTTTTTAATGTCAACAAATTTTTATTCATTATACATATTAGTCATATTCGTTAGTCTTTTTGTAATTGGGTCAAATAAAAAATCAGAACTTTTCTTAATTCTTTTCCTTTCTTTTGAAATATCTTCAATTTCTGTAATTCTTTCTTCATTGTCTATCGATTCATCGTCATTCTTCTTCTGCTTTTTATTCTTCTTTGCAATTTTTGTTTTTGTCTTTTTTTTTGTTCTCTTTAGGACAACTGTTTTTTAGTTTTCGCTGTAATTAGAAAAATAGTTATAAATTTAAGCATAAAAATTAATAATAATTTATCTTACAAAATGTGTGCTTACGTTGCTTGGCGACTTTTTTGGAGCCGTTAGAGAGTCAAAAACTGCAGCGTTACCATTGCTAACGTTTAATGATCTGTCAGAGTCAATTGTCAATTCAGATAATGTGGATTTATGACTGTTGATGATACTTGCATTATTCCCATATTCGCTTGTTAATATCCGTGGCTGGATCACTGTGGCAGTGCATGAGCGGATCATCTTTTGAAGTACCGTAAGTTGGGGTGATTTTGCACCGAATTTTGTTGTGTGATTAGTAAATGTAAAATAAAAAGTGCTGTATGTTCATTTAAACTAAAGAACTTTTAGTGATAGACAGACTAGGTATTCAAAATTGTTTTTATTGACTAATTAACAATGGCACATAATCAGGTACATAATTTTTTTAAATTAAATTTGGCGCTAAGTATTCCCTTCGGGAGGGATATTTTGCGCTGCTTTATATATAAAATCAGTCTTAACTCTTATAAAATAATACTGGCGCACTGATACACTGCATAGTTTTAGGCGCGAATCTTTACTCAATACCAGCAAGCTCTCCGAGAGAACCTCGCCAAAAAACCTAGCCGAGAGATAATTTTTGGAGGGTCAATGCTCCCAAGGACATTTTCCCACTCATAGAGGTTAATGTCTTTTTTCTGTGGCCATTTCCAGGATTTTAAGGACTTAGTCATTGCATCGACAGTTGCTCCTTTCTCATCGAAGTCGATAATGAGACCAGGGTACAGTTTCTCATCATATTTTACTACCACAAATGACTCTTTCTCACGTCTCACATCTTTGAATCTCGTTTCTGGTCGAGGTGGATGATTACTCTCCTCTGGGCTGTTGGGCTCTAAAAAGCTACCATCAGGATCGTCTGAATCGTCATGTAATGAGTACGCGTCCTAATCGTAACCAGTGCGTGACCTTGAATATGAGGCAATGTTGTCCTCTGTGCCATCAAAAACTTCTTTGTGCCTTCCATTTTCTTAAGTCTTGGAATCATAAGATTTTTCAGCCAATCTGAAAATAGCTGGTGATCAAACCAACCTGAAGGAGAGTTGCTGTAATGGCATCCTTTGGGAACATTCTCGGTCCATGTATCCCATAACTTCTGCGATTTGTACACTACGTACGGGGGCATCAGCTCACCTGAAGCGCTACCACAAAACATGATCGAATTACTTGATTTTGACGTGTTGCAGATTTTTTTCAGGATATTTGCATCCCCTTCGAACAATTACTCGTTTCTGGCCGGGATCGTCTGTTAAGTTTGTTTCATCATAGTTAAATATATGTTTAGGAGGGATGTCTCTAATTTGTGGTGTTAAATTTTCAATGTACTCTTGTAAAATCTCTTTTGATAGCGCTGCCCTGATCTTGATATTTGTTGCAAAACGCACTGAGAGGGTAGGATGGCGTTTCAAAAATTGTTTAACCCAGTCAGTTTCGAGCGTATTATTCTTAAATATTCGAACAATGCGTCCAGATTTTTCGAGATACATTTTAACAACAATTTTGAGGTGGTGCTCAGTTAATGGAAACCCATAGGTCCATCAAATATTTGAGGCTGACTTGTAGACTATATTAGGTTTACTTTCTGTAATTTCTAAGACTAAATATAGCAATTGATTCGCAACTGAAAATGGACTAGTAATTATGAAGTCTATATTGGGAACAGTTGTTATCTGACACAATCGCGCATCCAGCTCTTCCATTCAAGACCGATCCATCGGTATAAAAGGTTTTGTAGTCTCTATGATTGTAGTGCATTTCCTTGAATAGGTTTTTAATAAATATAATCTGGTGTATCATTATTTAACCTTGCAGCTAATTCCAGATTAATGGGGAATTTAGGAACTTCCCATGGACCTACAGTCAAATTCTTTTTTTCAAAGACTAATGGGAACGTGAAATTCAATTCTTTCAAGTACTTTGCTACTCTAATTCGCAGAGGTTTTGGTAAATTAGGTCGGGATTGGTATTCAAGATCTGAAGTTGTTACTTTTTTTTAATATTCATAGGTGGGGTGGAGTTATTAGGTTGAGATAAAATATTTGCAGTGTAAACTAAAACAAGTTGCTTCCTTCTAAACTGTAAGGGCATTTCTCCAGCTTCAGCCAATATACTTTTAATTGGACTAGTTTTAAAAGCACCAATACAAAGACGGAGCGCTGTACTTTGTATACTTTCTAGAGATTTTAGAGTTCTTAAACTAGCAGAGTCATATATGGCAGCACCGTAGTCTATTTTTTGTCTAATGAGCGCGTAATACATGGTCAACAGACACTCTTTATCAGATCCCCATGCTAACGATGATCTGACCTTTATAATGTTTATCCTTTTGTAACAATCTGATTTAAGTTTATTTATATGTGCTATCCAAGACATCTTTTTGTCGAATGTTAAGCATAACAGTTTAATATTATTGACTTCTTTAATATTGTGTCCATTTAATCTAAGTCTAACTTCCGTGTTTTTCTTTATCTTATTGGTAAATATTATATATTCTGTTTTTGTTTTTGAAAATCTGAATCCTGTTTTATGAGACCATTTTTGCAGATTACTCAACTTATTTTGGACTAGTTGTAAGGTAGGTTTTAAAGTAGTCCCAATACAAGTGATCGTTAAATCATCCGCAAAGAGGAAACCCTTAACTGGTCGTTCTATACAGGTAAGTACGTCATTAATGGCTAGCAAGAACAAAATCACACTAAGAACTGAACCTTGAGGAAGCCCATTTTCGATATTGATAGAATCAGATACTAAATTATTAATTCTGACTTTAATTGACCTATTCGATAAGAAGTTTTTTATAAATGCCAGTAAATTTCCCCCACCACCAATATCTTGCAAAATTACGAGTACTCTGTGCTTCCAAACCATTTCGTATGCCTTCTCAATATCAAGAGCTACAGTGATCACATAATTATCGTTTGCAAACCCATCTAGTATTTCAGTTTCAATATTCATTAAATGGTCAGTTGTTGACCTAAACTGCCTAAAACCGTACTGAAATGGGGAAATGTAATTATTCGTTTCTAAATACCATCTGAGTCTTTTACTTACTATTTTTTCAAATATTTTACATAGATTACATGTTAGTGCTATAGGCCTGTAACTTTTAGGAGAACTTGCAATTTTACCGGGTTTTAAAATTGGGATCACTAGAGCTTCTCTTCACCCATCTGGGAATATTTGATTTTTCCATATTTGATTGTAAATTTTTAACAAATACTCAAGGCCTATTTCAGGTAAATGCTTAATGATAACGTTGGAAACATTATCTGGCCCTGGACTACTATTTTGTGCTTGTGATATTGTTGATATTAATTCTTGCATAGATATGTCGCTATTAATTGGATCAGAGTTATTGTGAGTATCAAAGTTATGGTTCAGCTCTTGATTGTTCTTGTAGGGTATGAATTCACTGTCTTAATTACTTGAATCTGAATTATTGGCAAATGCTTGCGATAGTAGGTAGCTCGTTTCAACTGGCTGATTTGTTAATGTTCCATCTGGTTTTTCAATTATAATATTATTCACTCCAATGTTGATATGATTAATTTTATGAATCCTTTTCCACATTTCTCCTGTTGGAATGTTACTATTTATTGACAAAACCCACTTCTGCCAACACTTTGTTCTGCTTTCCTTAAGGACTCTTCTAGAGTATGCCCTTTTTTTCTTTAATTCCACTTTAAACTCTTGGTTTTCTGGATGTTTTTTATTAATTTTTAAAGGCTTTTTTTTTCTTTAACTGCAACTTTACAATCAGTATTCCACCAAGGTAAATTTTTTATTTTTAAATTTCCAGATGATTTTGGTATTGATTTTTTAGCAGCATCTATTATTAATTGGGTGAATATTTGTACAATGTTGTTAATGGTTTCATTAGGGTTTAAAGCTAATAAATTTAGAATACTACTAGCAATCTCTTCGCGGAACATTGACCTATCAGCCTTATCATAAATCCACTTCTGTGAATATTTAATGTCATGAACATGTGATTCATTTTGTGGTAAAAGCGATTTTATTGTAATGGGGAAGTGATCACTGTCGTACAAATCGTCTAGCATTCCATTATTCAAAATATGAAATCATGTTTTGTGAAGCAATAGTAAGATCTATATTACTAGTATGACCTGTATTGCTGTTAAAATGTGTGGGTTGGCCATTATTCAATAATAGAATATTGTTTTGCTCATCCAACCACTCAGCAACTATCCTTCCTCTGGTGTCACATGTTGCAGATCCCCAGTAGAAATGGTGGCTATTAAAGTCACCTAAAATTATAAAAGGTGTTGGAAGTTGACTTACTAGGACATTAAAATCAAGTTTGGTTAATGGTTTGCTATTCGGAAGATATATATTGCAAATGGTTATTGAAAAAGGAAATTTAATTTTTACAGCTACAACTTCTAAATTAGAATTAATGTGCACTTTTTCTGGCATTTTGTTATTTACATGAAACAACATTTACATAAATAACAACTCCTCCACTTGCTCTGTTTATCTGCAGCCTATTTTTGACAAAATGCTTATAACCTTTGATTGGAGCACAATGGTCATCTGTAAAGTTAGTTTCTTGTAAGCAAATGCAGGCTGGACTCAACTTATTCAATAATAATTTGATATTCTCTAAACGTTTGTAATAGCCATTGACATTCCATTGCAAAAAATCCATGAATGTAAATTGTAAATAATATAAGAATAATAACAAAGAAATGTAGAAATGAGTAAACAATAATAAAAATATTAATACAAATAAGATTACCACACTAAGTTGAGTAAATTCCGTGTAGTTTTTTTGTCAATCGGGAACACTTATTTTTTAGACTTTTATTCATTTTGCAATGTAATGTAATACACATTTTAATTAAGTCCTTGACATTGTCTGTATATGAATGAACTAGTTCCTATATGTTTTGTTTTCCCCTGGAATTATCGAGCAAACTAATAAATTGATCAAGATTAATCGGAAATTCTTTGCTTAAATCAGTTATATCATCAATTCATCTGTTCTCAAGTCATTTATCTTTATTTTTTTCTTATTTTTAACTTTATTTATTGCTACATGTTTCGTCACTTTTTTCCATGATATCAGATGTGTCATCTCCTTTTGGCTCTAAGGGTTTTATGAGATCACCTTTTGAATATTCACTTACAGTAGGTGAATGAAGGCGTTTTATACCCTTATACAGGTTTGTGATATTTGTGAGTATTCTTCTGATGTAGTTGTTGGTTGAACGAATGTAGGGCCCTGTATTAAGTTGTCATTTCTATCAAAGGTTTTACTAATTTCTTCTTCTAGATGGTCTTCCAGCTCTGTAGAGAATTGCTGTGAGTGAAGTATAATTTCTGGCGACATGTCCCACCATGTTGCAAGAAAAACATTTGAGAGAATCAGACGATACGTAAATCAAGTAATTTGTACTTTCAAAGGTAACCTGAAATGATTCTGAAAGACGTTCTTCATCTTCTGATGTCACATAAAGTTGTCTCCTAAAACTCAAAATGTGAGAAAACCCTAGTTCAGTTGTACCTATTTTCATAAATGTTATAGGAGACATTGTTTTAATATTGATTTCCTCGAGTTTCCTTGAGTTTTTGTTCTATAATATAGTGTGGGATTACTGGACAGTCATTTGATAGAACTATACGTTTGTTTCTCGTAATAAGTGGTTTTATTTCCAGGAAATTATTCTTTAATATATTTTTTTTTGTTGTCTATAAGACCATCCGCTGTTTTTTTAGTGTCCAAATATACGCATATTCGAGCATTTGATATTCGTGAAACAAATCGAATAGACGCCGGTGGTATAATAGATTATAGTGCGGTGATGTAATCTTTAAGCGTTATGCCGTCAATCGAGTCAAGTATGATAGCTTGATCCTTCTTGGGAAACATTGTTGTGGACGTTACGTTGGCGTAGCTTGAAGTACTATTATTCTTAACATTGTCATTTTGTGTAGTTAACTGAGTCTTTGGGGGTTTTCGATACGTTGGGGTAAGGTTCATGCTGAAAAAAGGGACTCCTAGTACTAGGAGTTACCCTTACAGCATAGGTTAATCTTGGAATGTTATTATATTCGACACGTAAACTTGTAAACAACACGCGATAACCGAGCAAACGAATGAGTCACACGCGTCCGCAAAGGCGCGATGCCCGC